CTCTTTATTCCATTGTATATTCTTGCCTCCTTTGTCGAAGATGAGTTGACCAAAAGTTTGTGGGTTCATTTCTGGGCTCTCTATTCTGTTCCATTGGTCTATATGTCTGTTTTGGTACCAATACCTGTTATTTCTTTTCAGTCTGAATAACATCATTGTGCTGTTCTTTTAGTGCAAAGCCACGGGCAACAACTTTTCTTAGTTTTCCTTCATTGAGACTTTTTTCCCACCCTTATTCACCTTGTTTTGGTTTTGTTTTTTTCCTCTCACCTTCATTCTGGAAGGATGTTTTCACAGAAAATAGAAAATTCCGGGTTGAAGTTCTTTTCTGTTAGCACTTGAAAAATGGCTGCTACTTTTTGACTCTGTAGTTTCTAAAGAGAAATCTGCTACCATTTGAATTATTGTCCCTTTCAGGTCATGTATAATTTCCCTCTGACTGCTCTCAAAAATTTTTCTTTGTCTTTAGTTTCCATAAGTTTGATTATGTGACTGAACATGATTTCTTTGATTTTACCCTCTTTAGAGTTCACTTAGCTTCTTGTATTTGTAGATGTATGTCTTTCACCAGCTTTGGAAAGTTTCCAGTCTTTTTTTTTCCAACCTTTTTTCCAACCTTTACTCTTTTTACTCTCCTTCTGGGACATTGGTGCACAAATGTTAGATCTTTTGTTGTCCCACTGGCCCACGAGACTGTTCATTTCTTTTTTGTGACGTTTTTCTCTCTCCTTTGTTCAGTTTGAGTAATTTCTGTTGATTCTGTCTTCAGTTTCCCTCTTCTCTGTCATCTCCATTCTGCTGTTGAGCTCATCAGTAAGGTTTTCCATCTTGGTGATTCTATTTTTTAGTTTTAAATTTTCTATTAACTTTTCTTTGTATCTTCTATTTCTTTGCTGACAGTTTCTATTTTTCACATGTTTCAAGTGTCCATAATTGATTATTGAAGTATTTTTAGATAGCAACTTTAAAATCCTTTTCTAATAATTCCAACTTCTGTATTATCTCTGCATTGGTGTCTTTTGGGTATCTTTTCTCATTCAAGTTGAGACTTTTTTTTGGCATTCCAAGTTATTCTTTTCAATTGCCTAGGCTGGGATAAAATTAAAAATTAAATTAAAAAAATTTTTAAAAACCCAGGGGAACCCACTTCCAGGTCATTCCTTAAGTTCTAAGGAGACTACCTAGTCCTGCCACCTTTCCTTCACCTGTTTTCTGATAGTTGGTTTATGTCTTTTGTTCAAATTTTTTTGGTCCATTTCTTTGCAGTCAGAAAAATAGGATGTAACATACTTACTCCATCTAGTCCACAAGCACAAACCACTCTTTAAAAATGCCAACTTGTTTGTCAAATACCTGAGCTATGCATGCTTTTTCATTTGGTCAGAGTACTTTTAAAGGGAGAAATAAAAACCCACTTAAATACCTCAAATAAAGAGAAGTTTGTTACCAGTGTGCTACAGTGAATCTTCACTAGCATGACTGTAGTTCAGCTGTTTGCTACAGCAATTTGTTATGTTCCTAAGAAACCACAGATTATGGAGGGGCAAATCACAGTTCTGCAAACAGTTATTTCAGTGGAAAAGTGAGGAAGTCTGTTAGGGACTAGAGTTTAACCCATTTTTTAAAAAGTTTTTATTCAAGTGTAGTGGATTTACAATGTTAGTTTTAGGTGTACAGCAAACTGATTCAGTTATACATGTGCATACATATACCATAACTTTTTTATTCCTGCAGGAATTCAAGTTTTTGTCATGGCCATCAAATCTAAACTTTACTGAATATTTCTATTTTATTCACTCACTCCATTTGCCACTCCTCACCCCCGAAATATAGTGTCATCTGGCAACCAGTCTATGCAGTCTTATAGTTGCATCACTCACCAGGGACTGTCTTTGGTTTCTATGTCTTGTTTCATCTTCTTAGAAGAACATTCACTTGATCATTGATCATCCAGTGGCTCTCTGGCTTGAGCCAGAAGCATGTGCCTTTCTACTCAGTTGTAGCAGGAGGATCAGAGGCTCTTAGTTTACTTCCTTTAAACAAAGGCCACGAACTGCTGCCCCTCACAAAGAAGCAGGCTGGGGGCAAACAAGGGCACAGAACCATTCTCCCACACCCATTTCACATACAGGGCTGTTGTCAGATGTCGAAGCAATTGCAGTTTTATTTTTCCTCTTTGTTGAATGAGAAGCTCCAAACTGCCTATGTGTGTGACATCTCTAAAATCTTCTTCCCGTAGAACGCCTGACAGACAATCTCAGAGTTGGACGGACATCCCTAGTTGCTGCTCAGATGTTTCTTTTTTTCAGAGTTTTGCTGCTAAGAATATCTCCTCAACATTTGACTTCACTGTGGCCAATAATGGTCTCTGAATTGGTAAGTAAGACTACTTTACTCTTGAAAGCAAAGATGGAGCTTTTAAAAATGCTTCTTCAGCAATAATATATTATTTAATACATATCTAATTTTATCTGCAGAACTTTTAATCAAGTTTGTAGCACATAGCTCTTGGTTAAATAGAGATATTTTATCCTTTAATCATACTTGATCTCTCAACTGTCCATTATTTCAAATAATTTGTACTGTTTGATATTATTTGCTATTTTAAACTTTTTTTCCGCTTTTATTGAGGTATGTGACATACAGCACTGTGTTAGTTTAAGGTGTACAACATAGTGATTTATCTGAAACATCATGAAATGATTACCACAATAAGTTCAGTTAACATCCATCATCTCATATAGATACACAAAGAAAAAAACAAGAAAAAAATTTTTTTCCTCGTGATGACAACTCTAAACTTTCGTATATAACCTACAGCAGTGTTACCTATAGTCCTCATGCTGTATGTTACATCCCTAGGACTTATTTATAACTCAGGTTTATACCTTCTGACCACTCTAATCCGTTTTCCCTCCCCTTACCCTCTGCCTCTGGTAACCACAAATCTAATCTCTTTTTCTATGAGTTTAGTTTCATTTTGATTTTGTTTTGTTTTTCAGATTCCAATTATAAGTGAGATGTGTACCATTTTCATCTTTCTCTTCTGACTTATTTCACTTAGTATAATGCCCTTAAGGTCCTTCTATGTTGTTGCAAATGGCAGGGTTCCTCCTTTTTAATAGCTGAATAATATTCCACTGTATACATATACAACAATTTCCTTATCCATTCATCTGTCCATGGACACTTAGGTTGTTTCCATGTCTTAGCTATTGGAAATAATGCTGCAGTAAACATGGGGGTGCAGATATCTCTTTGACAGTATTTTCATTTCCTTTGGGTATATTCCCCAAAGTAGAATTGCTGGATCATATGGTAGCTGTATTTTTAATCCTTTGAGGAACCTTCATACTGTTTTCCATAGTGGCTGCACCAGTTTACAATCCTACCAAGAGTACACAAGGGTTCCCTTTTCTCCACATCTTTACCAACATTTGTAATCTCTTTTTGATGACTGCAGCTCTAACAGGTGTGAGGTGATAGCTCACTGTGGGATTTAAAAAATTTTTTTTAATTGAAGTATGGTTGATATACATTGTTTCAGGTGTACAGCAAAGTGATTCAGTTATATATATATATTCTTTTGTGGATTTTTTCCATTATAGGTTATTACAAGATTCATTGTAGTTTTCATTTGCATTTTTCTGATGATTAGTGATATTGAGCATCTTTTCATGTACCTATTGGCCATTCAGATATTTTCTTTGTGAAAGTGTCTATTAAGGTCCTTTGCCCATTTTTTAGTTGGATTATTTGCTTTTTTTTTTTTTTTTTGCTATTGAGTTGTATGAGTTTTTTAAAAATATATTTTGGATAGTATCCTCTTATCAGATACGGTTTGCTAATATTTTTCACCTATTTCATAGGCTGTCTTTTCATTTTGTTGTTTCTTTTGCCTTATTTGCTATTTTTATGGACATACAAATTTTGAACATTAAAGTATGTTTAATCTCTCTCAAATAGTAACTTCACTTTTTTTTTTAAGATTCATACATTCATACAGCTTGAAGAAGATCTGAAGGAGGATGAATCATTGAGGTAAGTAGTGCAAGGGTCTGTGCACATATGTGAGGTTAATGGACATCACTGTATGACGTAGATTAATAATGCTAAACAGTATTTTTTCGAAGTACTTGTGAGGGGTCAGTTGCTATTCTGAACATTGCTTGAAAGGAAAACCTTCTTAGGGGATGTTGCATAAGCAAATGGGTTCCAGCAGATGTGAATGAATTTATAACAAGAGTTTCTTTGCAAATTTATAGAAACAGCAACAAAATCAACAGAATGAAAGTTTCAGTCTCTGATGGAAATGGGCCCTCGATGGGGGAGATACCCCAGAGTGAACTCATCTTATATTTATCAGCTTGCAAATTCTTGGACACAGCACTTTCTTTTCCACCTGACAAGATGCCATTATTTCAAACGTAAGTCAGAGAAGACCACGTGTCTTCTTTGAAAGAGGTGACTTTTCTTTCCTCGTAAGCACTTTCTCTTGTTTTTTTCCTGTACAGCATATGAGATACCACAGTATGAGTTACTAGTGACCAGTGAGCCTGCCCAGAACACCACGTTTCAGATTACTTGCAACATCTGTGGTTTCATGAACTTGGCTCACAGTAGTGTTTATGGATGGGTTTCGTGTGTGTGTGTGTGTGTGTGTGTGTGTGTGTTTTAGGTAGTTTTTGCTACTGGGGGCTTATAAAACAGACTCACCCGCTGGTGGTCCTCATTGCATTTATGTAGGTTTTTTTTGTCTGTTTGTTTTTAATTGAATAAATTGAACACACTGTCTCCAATTCACTCTGTCCTTGTTGGCTCACATTTCCTGTAGGCTTAACACAGCTGCTCATATGTTTAATTTCATGCCTGGCCCCAGATGCCACTTCTCTCTGTCCTGTCCCCCGAAAGAGAGCAATCATGTAGAAAGGTTTGTGGTTAGAAACACTAAGTGAAAGAAGACAATCTGAAACAGCTGCATACTGTATGATTCCAATTATTTGATGTTCTGTAAAAAGCAAAACAGTGGAGACAGTAAACAGATCAGTGCGTGCCAGGGGCGAGGAGAGAGGGAAGCTGAGCAAAGAGGATTTTTAGGGCAGTGAAACTACTCTGTATGATACTATAATGTGGCTGCATATCATTACACATTTGTCCAAACCCAGAGAATGCACAATGCCACGAGTGAACCCTAAGGTAAAGTAATAGTAATAGCTGATGAGTCAGTGTCAGTTCATTGATTGTAACCAATGTACCCCTCTGGTTGGAGGTGTTAAAAGTTGGAGAGGCTGTGCATGGCAGAGGGGAGCAGGGGCATATGGGAAACCTCTGTACTTTCTGCTCAATTTTACGATGACCTGCTCTAAAAAGTTGTGTTTTTTTTTAAATGAATATGCATAGCAGCATTATTCATAACAGGCAAAAAGTAGAAAAAACCTAAATGTCCATCAGTTGACAGATGGATAAATAACATGTGATATACAGTAAGAGATTCCACAATAGAAAGAAATGAAGTACTGACATGTGCTGCACCATGGATGAACCTTGACAGTATTATGAAAGAAGCCAGTCACAAACAGCCGCATGCTGTGTGATTCCACTTATATGAAATGTCCAGAATAAAAAATCTGTACAGACAGAAGATAGATTAGTGGTTGCCCAGACCAAAGGGGTGTGGTGGATTGAGTGGATTGATGGCTAAAGGGAGCAGGGATTCTATTTGGGTTTATGAAAATATCCTAAAATTGATTATGGTGATGGATATAAAATTCTGTGAATATACCAAAAACTATTGAACTGTACACTTTAAATGGGTGAATTGCATGGTATGTGAATTACATCTCAATAAAACTATTTAAAAACTTTAAGTGGGCTCTGAGCCAGCATGCCTGATGTCGGATTTTTTTCCTCCAGTTATAGGTGGGCATTTGTTCCTGAAGTGGACACAGAGGGCCCTGCCTTCTCATCAGATCTAGAGGAGAATCACCAAGAATGTAAACCCCACACTGTCCGGATTCTCGAACTTCTAAAATTAAAATACGGGGTAAATGTTTTCCCTTTTAAAATGGATACTTGTGGCAGAGGGGAGGAGGGCTGAGCAGGGAGTGAAGTACTCCATACTCCATTTGATTTCAGTGACTTTGAACAGTTTTCAAAATGTCTTCTTATCTGAGTGTTCAAACTGGGAGGTGCTCATAAATTCCATCTTGGTTTCGTCATTTGTATGTGACTTTGTCATCCCAGTTGCTAGGAGGTAAAGCTTCCTGGGTGACAGTGTCACACAGAAGTAGTCAGGCCCACAGAATCCCTGTGTTACTTGGAGGCTGGACCGGCAGGAGGGGCGGGCAGGGGCCCCGGTCAGGGGGACTTGGGGCAAATCCTGGTGGAATACGGCAGCTGACGACCTGGGATTTGAGTTCACACTGCTGCCAGCAGTGCTGACAGTGACTTTTCATGAAGGACCTGGCCAAAGGTTTTGCCGCCCGCACGTGCTCCACGTGCCTAACTCTTAGCAAAGCTGAGGGATTGTTGTGTTTTTCGCAGGAAATCGGCAGTTCGGATGAGACGACCATGAAGAGCGAACTCCCTCTTCTGCGCCAGCATTCTCTTCCCAGCATCAGGCAATTGATACCATTCTTCAAGACTCTAAATTGTGCTTTTAAAACCCAAAATAAACTGCCTGCTGACACCCAAGGCCCTCCACTCATAGAGTTCCCCATCACAGACGGCCCAAAGGCCCTGAAACAACTGGAAGAATGTGTTGAATGTGATTTTTTGGAACATCTGGAATGTTAGCCTTGTAAGACAGAATGTATTTAATCCACTTACTGCTGCTTCAATGACAACCAGGATACTATTCCAGACAAGAAAGGAGCCAGGATATACTGCTGTTAAGCAAGTCTATTTCAATTTTGAAAGTGAATTTCAGATAATTTTCTGGTGGGCAACAAAACACGCCTCCCTGAATGCCTTGTAATACATTTAGATCTAATTTTATGTTTCTTCCTCAATTTATGTAAAGAAAATAAAATTAATATATCATCTAACAGTGGCATAAAATTTGTAATATGGAGTAAAAGGTGAAGAGAATGAAGAGTTGTTTTCTTTGTTGATGTAGATAGATGGGTCTGTGTGTATGCATTTCTCTGAAAGTGTAAACCTATTGAATATTATTTTTTTAACTTGTCATACATGTCCCTTTAAGCATTTATATTGGTACTGCATTTTTTCATGAAAATACATTATTTTCTGAAAATACTAATTGCCCGTGACCATTGACTATTCAGCAGAGGCGAGAGTTGAAGATATCTCAGTGTATTTAACCCTCGCTCACTAAAAGCACATGTTTGCTCTGTTCTGCTGGGTAAGAAAGACACAGTTTTCAAACCTCTGACAGCTGTAACCTTAGTTGTGTACCAGAATGTGCCTTGCCAGCACTCTCCATTTAACATCAATCAATCAGCCTGGTCACGGAGCCGTTAAGGCCCGGAACTGCTATCAGAGAAGCTCACTCTTTGGACTCCTCCTTCTTACTCTGTCCTTTTGGGATCTCTTTAAGCATTTTGCAGACATCACTGTTCATTAAAATAATCTGTTCCTCGGCACAGACTCCTCCAGGCTGGCAGCATGTCTTCCCATTCTTTTCAAGCCTCCCTGTCTTACGCCAACCACCCTATTTAGAATCCCACCTGGCGCCCGTCCTCCGCGGGGGGTGCTCACTTTGCGCCAGTGCGTGGGGCTTGCCTGCCAGACCTGCCTGCCTCATGTCCCCTTTTCAGCCACCAAGGCCATAAAGTCACTTTGCCGGTCAGATGATGCATACTGTCCTAACGTGTGCTCTCAGATCCATCCTCTTGTAGATGGGGTGTTTGGGAATTTGACCAACATTACAGGTTAAGTTTCTCCTCACATCCTCTTGCTTATTAGTATGTGTGCAGCGCAGAAGCAGTTTGTGTCACTAGCCCCCACATAGGATTTGGGCAGCACAGAACCACTTGGTTCCCTAAATAAGGGCTAAAAATCAGAGTCAAAAAGCACTAAATACATGGGTATTCATACAAATGTATGTTAAAAATTAGGTGGAAACTGCTGGTTTTGTACATAGAGGGTATCTTTAAAATCATTTGCAGGTTTGGTCACTAAAATGTTAAATCTTGAAATGTAGAATTATAAATTGTATGTAACTTATATGAGGACTTCCCCATAATTCAGATTGTAAGGAGGTAACCATATGCTGATTAGTAGTTAACATCAGGGTGGGTGCATACAGTCACCTATCAAAATTAACAAAACTAATAGCTTACTTATATCACCAGTAGATATTATGCTACAAAAGGTAGTTCTTGTATCTGTCCTTAGGTTTACAAAGTTTGTTTTTCACTTTTTTTCTCTCCAGTATCTAAAACAACTTAATGGTCTCTGTCAATGCCATATGTAATTTAATCTTTATTTATTAAACAGAAATCTTGAAAGGGATTCAACAATACATCTGTTTACCACAGAACACTAAAAAAGTCTTATTGGGGAGAAGGGTGTAGCTCAGTGGTAGAGTGCATGTTCAGCATGCACGCGGTCCTGGGCTCAATCCCAAGTACTTACGTTGAAAAAAAAAAAAACCTAACAATAAATAAATAAATAAATAGACCTAATGCCCCCCCCCCAAAAAAAAGAAAAAAATAAGTGCTCAAAAAAAGAAGTCTTATAAATGTGATGGACGTCTAAATCCCTTGTCAGCATATATACTACAGTGGTTGAGGGCACAGGCTCTGAAGTCAGTTTGCCTAGATTGACTATTCAGCCTTCCCCACTTGCTAGGCTGGGCAAATCCTGTGTGTCTCAGTTTTCTCATCTATAAAATGGAAATATCAATGGTAACTACCTTAGAGTCGGAGCAACTAACCACCCCTGTGCTACCTCTGTGGTCTGTATAAAGTTTTGATCGTGCACTCATCAGTAAAAATGAAACTTGTACCCACCCCTCAGTGTCACCAACCCTGTGTGTTACATTAATTAACCTGAGTACTAACATATTGTGTGTTCTACAAAAGAGAAAAATGGAGGTTTTTTAAGTATGAGGAAAAACAAAATTAGCAATTCTTTTTTTGTTCTTCCCAGTGGAGATCCTTCTGTATCCCACTTTGAAGACAATGCCTCTGACTCAGTTCCTCCCAGAAGAAGTTAAGCCAGGTGTCCAGCCCAGGGACCAAAGTGCCACTGCTCTGAGGGCAAAGCGTTGGGACTGGTGTTCTGACAAAGCAGAGCTTTTAACACACAGAGCTGCAGGACGTGTGGTGGGAACGTGGTCTGCATGTGTGGTCCTTCCCACTGCAGTGCTTCCCAGGGCCAGGCGTGGTGCTGCGTGTGTCACGTGCCTGATTTCCTAACCCCCTTAGGAGGCAGGGACTGTTACTCAATTCTATAAAGTCAGCAGAGCCAGGAACTGAAACCCAGGTTTGTCTTGCTCTAGAACGTGACATTCTCAACCGCGGTGCCGAGAAAGTGAAACAGGAAAACCCCGAGAGGGCTGCTGCTCTTTCATGATGTGAAGAAGAGTTTCGGTGCTACCCCACCCAGTGGGCTTCCTGCCAAGCCAGCTTATCCTGGAGCACAGCACAGAGGTGGCGGCTCCTGGCTCTCGAGGTGTGGTGAGGTGTGTTTCAAAGGAGATAAGCCTTATTTTCCAGTATTTGTGTTATGCCCAGTTAATTTAGGAATAGAAGTAACTAGGTTCATGGAAATAGTTGATGAAGCCTGTTGTTAAAAGTTTTGAACAACTTGGGAGACCAGGCAGGATCTGGCCTTTGGAATTAAATGCTCTGCTGTAGGACTATGCCTTCTACCAGGTATTACTTGCATTTTCATAGGGCACACAAAGTGATGAACATGCAAAAGTAAAACCATCAAAGAAGAGAATACTGTGCATATGGATGTGGGCCAGTGAAGGAATCCACCCATTCCTTAGTAAGGGGCAACTGAACATTGTAAGAATCACCACAGTAGTGTCTTATCACGCTTACATATTTTGTTAGATTGTGTAGTAATCATTCCACAACTTGTATTCCATCATCTTCAACGGGACTTTGTGCTGTCTCTGAAGTTCAGAGCAAAGAGACCCCTTCACGCGTTTTTTGGAATGCTTATGAGGACCCTGCAGTTAGAAACCTGTCAGTTGTGGTTAGAATCCGGCAAAGCAACATTTAAAAGGGGTCCCCACTCCTGCATGTGAACAGACTTATCCAGAGAGCTTGCTACCTTGCAGAATGCCTACCCTCCTCTCCAGAGAGTTTGGATCAGTAGACGGGGTAACACTGGGGAATCTGTGTGTATAATAAATTGTTTTTCATGCCAGTGCTTCCCGGACCACTTGGAGAAACATGAGTTTGCAGAGCAACGCATTCACAAAGATGACAGTTCTTACGTGATCGAGGAGGAAGCCCTTGAGGCTAAAGCTTGTCTGGTTCTCATCCTATACAGGTAGCTCTTTCCAAGTGGTTCTCCATCTAAATCAAATAAGCCCACCTTTAAACCAAGGGGGGAAAGGACTTTAAAATTAGATCTGGGAAGGGAGTATGACAGTTCGTCAAAGAGTTTAAAATAGAATTACCCCTCTGATCCAGCAATTCCACTAAAAACTGAAATCAAGTTCAGGAAGAGAGATTTGTAGTCCCATGTTCATGGCAGCATTATCCACAATAACCAAGAGGTGGAAATAACCTGAATGTCTATCGACGGATGAATGGATAAACAGAATGTGGTATATGGTGGAATATTCAGCCTTAGAAAGGAAGGAAATTCTCACATGGATAAATCTTGAGGACATTATGCTGAGTGAAATAAACCAGTCGCAAAAGGACAACTACTATATGATTCCACTTATATGAGGTACATGAAACTGTCAAATTCATAGAAAAAGGAACTAGAACAGTCGTCATCAGGGGCTGGGAGGAGGAAGGAAGGAGGAGTTAGTGTTTAATGGGGACGGAATTTCAGTTTGGGATGACAAAACATTTATGGAGATGGATGGTGCTGATGGTCGCACGACAATGTGAATGTAATTCATGTCACTGAATTGTACACTCAGAAAGGGTTAAAATGATCAATTTTATGTTCTGTATATGATACCACAATAAAATCTTAAAACAGTGAGGACAGAGGAGATAGCCAAGGCTCCTCCTTACCTAGAGAACAAACATCTGTGCTATCCTGAGTTCCCCCCAAAACCAACCAGAGCAGATGGGAGGTGGGAGATTAAGGAGAGAAACTTGCCTCTCAATGCTTCAGCTTTAGAAAAAGCTGTTACTTAATATTTTACTCTAAATTGAAATCGTAGTAATGACCCCGGGGGCCTGACTGGGCTTTCCAGCCTCTTTCCTAAAGCCCTCGGCCATCTCTCCTGTCTCCTCCAACCACTCAGGGCTTCTCACCTGCATTTCTTATGTATGTTCTTTCATCTGCTTGAAGCTATTTTCTCCTCCTCTTTCACCTGGCGAAGTCCTGCTCAAATCATTTGTTGGTTTACTTAGCAAATATGTAGGAGCCCATCTTTGAGATCCAAACTCCTCAGTCTTGCTTCTCTCTGCACTTCCTCAGGCACAGCAAGTGGCCCTACGGATGCACCTAGTAATGCAGTGGTCCATCACTGATACAGGGCAAGGGCCCTTTTGTGGAAAAGGCAGAGCCAGCATCTTCGGTTCCTTCAGTGTCTGGCATATACAGGCAGCCAGTAGGTAATTGAAAGAAGACTGTAAAGGTTGATTTATCTGTCCAAGGTGGTGCTGGAAGGAAGAAAAAGAATAGTAAATCAAATGAATGAATTTGTAGGACTAGAGAACGTGGGCTCAGGGAACAGTGGATTTTCAGCCCTAATCTTGGACTCTCCATCACTCTAAGACTCCCCTCGCTGAGGTTCCTGTGGTTTTGCTGAGCACCACTTCAGACACACGAGAGCGCTCTGCTGGGCATGCTTTCCTCTCTCTTTCCTGCTGGTCCCAGAACTGCCTGATTACATAGATTCCGAGCCGAACTCGCCTGAAGCATCTCTGTGAGGACTGCTATGTCTTTACTGGGCTCGTCCTTGATTCTTACTGGACCTTTTGACAACCAAGCACTTCCATTCTGTAAGGAGAGGGAACACTGGACTCTGTGCATTAACTGTACTGCTTGGAGAGCTCTGTGTCGTATTAAAGATACCACGGTAACTAATAAGCACTTGGTTGTATATTGTTCCATGTTTTCCTTCCAATTATCTTCTGTTTGTTTCTGAATCTAAGCCAGGCTAACAATCTAAATTCCTTCAGGAAGCAAACAAGTTGTTTAATACTATTGGTGGGGTGGAGCTTGTGGCCAACTGAAGAGTATGACTGGCCTAAAGGCAATAAATATATATAAGTGACCAGTTATGAGCTGGATAAAATCCCACTTCCAATAACAACAATAAGAAAATAGGGGAAAAAACATTTACAAGAGCTCCCTGAAGGCAACACTACCAAAGAAGAAAAGAAGACTTGGAGCTAAAGGAAAGATTTACTAGGTCATGAAGAGGAAGATTCAACATCATAAAGTTGTAAAGTCGAACTTAAAGAGTAAGTTCTAAGTTAAAGAGTATTGAAGAGAACTAACCTGAGATCCTTAAATATATTATAAAACTGAAATAATTGGCACCAGTGCAGGAATGGACAAGAGACCAATAAACAAAATAGAAAGTCTATCAATGGACCTCAATACCTAGAAAAATTCAGTATGTAATAAAGGTGGCACTTCAAAACCATAGAGGGAACGATGTCTTATTCAATAAATGGTGTTGATGGGAGAGGGTAAGCCCTGTGGCAGAGCACATGCTTAGCATGCATGAGGTCCTGGGTTCAATCCTCAGTACCTCCATTAAAAAAAAGGGAAGAAAAAAAATGGTGTTGGGATAACTGGGTAACCAACAAGGGAAAAAGCTGGGTTCATATCTCACATCTTTCACCAAAATAAATTCCAAGCAGATCAAAGATTGAAACCATGAAAATGCTAGAAGAAATGAAATGATACTTACACAAACCAGCAATAAGGATGATATTTCTTAAATGAACATAAATTCTAGAAGCCCAAGGGAAAAGTTCTATCATTTTGACTGTATAAATTGTCTTTTTAAAATTCTATGCAACAAAATCTTCATAAGCAAAGTAAAAGACAAATGGCAAACAGAAAAATATTTGAGACATATTACAAAGGGCTAATTTCTTCAGTACTGAAAGAACTATCAAAAGTAATAGAGAAGTAGGCAAAAGATGGGGGGAGGGATAAATTGGGAGTTTGAGATTAACTTATATAAAATAGATAACCAAAAAGGCCCTACTATATAGCACTGGGAACCATATTCAAGATCTTGTAATCACCTATATTGGAAAAGAACCTGAAAAAGAATAGATTTACATATATATATATATATATATATACACACACACTTATAACTGAATCACTTTGCTGTACACTTGAAACATTGTAAATCAACTATACTTCAATTTTTTTAAATGAAAAAAGTATTAGATATAGGGATTAGCAGCATATTAAAAAAAGTGTGCAAAAATATAAACAGGGAGTTCACACACACAGACACACACACAAACAATTGGGTTTTACAAACGTAAAAAGATACCTGAACTTACAATATGAGAAAAAAGTTTAAATTGCTCTGAGAGATTATTCACTGACCATTTCGGCAGATATCAGTGATAGCAGGAAATCAGGACTTTCCCTACACTGCTATAGGAAATAGAGATCGGTACAAGCTCTTTGGAGAAAATTGGACAGTTTCTACCAAAAGTAAAAAAAGTGGCTGTAATTTTGACCCCACAATTCTACTTCCGGAAATTTATCTGCTATACATGCATATGTGTAAAATGACTTACATACAAGTTATTGATTGTAAATATTATTGATAATAGCAAAAAGTTTGGAGACAACCTCAGTATTCACCAGTAGGAGACTGGCTAAATAAACTACAGCAATATAATGAAGTGTCATGAAGTTGTAAAATAATGTGAGGAAGCTTTCCATGTACAGCTATCGAAGGATCTCTGGGATACACTGTTTCATGTAAGTCAAGATACATAACTGTATAGGTTTGTGAAAGCAACCAGATTTCACATTGTGTTTAATTTCAATCAGAGATTTTTATTTTGTGGGACCAATGTTCTAACTCTTCTATGGAAACTTAAAATTTTTCTTTTTCTGCCTTAGTCATTTTGGGCTGCTAAAATAAAAACGCCATCGATAGACTGGGTGACCTAAACAATAAATATTTATTTCTCACATTTCTGTTAGCAGGGAAGTCCAAGATAAAAGCACCTTCCTGGTTCTTCCTGCCATTACATAGCAGAAGGGTTGAGAGACCTCTGTAGGTCTCTGTTACGAGGACACCAATCCCATTCATGAGGGAGCCATCCCTAGACCTAATCACCCTCCCAAAGCACCCCCACCTCTAAATACCACCCCGTTGTGGGTTAGGATGTCAACATACGAATTTTGAGGGGAGACAAACATTCCATACACAGCACCTCCCCCTAAAAGAAGATAGTTTTTACCATAAAAAACATATCAAACTCAGCTTTGACATTTTTAAAAATAAAGATTTCCAAATCAGCTTGCGTTTGTATTACACAAGCACCAAAGGGAAACAGCAGAGTATTTACGGTCCTGGAAAAGCCCCATTTATACTATCTGGTTTAAGTTTAGCCTGTACACATTCACCTCATATTTCTTCCATATGAGTAAGCCCTGACAACGTAGAATTCCACAGTGTGCACAATTAGGTTAAAAAAATATTAGAGCCTGGGAGGCAAGAATTTGTAGGTACAGTTAAGTATTCACTTCTACACGAATAGATGGTTGTCTATTTCTATTGCTGCTCTAACAAATTACAACAATTTAATGTCTTAAAACTGCAGAAATGTATTCTCTTCCAGTTCTGGAGACCAGATGTCTGAAATGAGCTGAAACCAAGGTGTCTGCTGGGGGTCATTCCCTCTGGAAACTCTAGGGGCTCTAGAATAGAGTTTCCTTGCCTTTTTCAGCTTCTGGAGCTGCATTCCTGGCGTCCTTTGGCTCATGGCCCTTCGCCATTTTCAAAACCAGCAGCATGGCATCTGCAAGTCTCTAGAGAGATGCTTCAATGGCCACATAGCCTCCTGCGGCCAAACCTCCCTCCGCCTATGTTTTATATTATAAAGACACTTGTGATTGCATCTATGGCCCACCCGGATAATCCAGGCTAATCTCATCTCAAAATCAACGTTGTTCTTAGAAACAATGAAAAGTACATATATGTAAATTTTAAAAATACGTGCAGTGTATTGTATATATGTATTTACATGCAATACATTGTATATGTGCAGTCAAATTGTAACAATTCTACCTAATAAAACTGAAAAATGAAAAAAAATCAACATTGCTAAACATCACATAGCTAAGAAGTGAAGAAATTGGATTTAGGCACAGATAGACATTGCACTATACTATTAAATTAAAAGTCTATTCTTTTTTTTTTTGACAAAGCACTCGCTAATTGAGACTCACCAGACTGATTTCGTAACTCACTAATGAGCCATAACTTATTTAATGAACAGCCACGAGACTGTAAATTCCACAAGAGTGACAACCTCTATTTTACTCATCACTGCATCCCTAGAGCCCTCACTTTGACAGACACAAAGTAGGCTGTCAATAAACAGTTGATGAAAGAGCCTCTTACATAGCAATACAGTCTTATAGCTGGAGGAAACTAAGAAATTACCCAGTCCAGAGCATTGCAAACGGCATTAACTAACACTCTTACTTAGATGATTCACATTATGTCATTGGCCCTGTGGACAAAGAATGTCCTTGCCATATCAGTAAACAAAGGATGCTGCAGCCATCAAGTCATCAGCCACTGGCACCCCCCTCACCGCAATGTGCACCTTGAGAGGATTCAGGAGGAAGAAAACCAGGATACTGGCCCTAGGGAGTTAAGGTGCTCATCCAAAGTGCTTTCAATGAGCCTAGATTCTTGCATCTTCCCATATACAGAAAAGCACTAAATTCATCAACTTGAGATGTCTTTAATTAACAGTAACCTTTTGATGTTCTGATTACTTGATTTTTTTGCAAAAACTTGTATATATGCTGGCTCCTCCCTTACGTCTTCGGAACAGTCCCTCAGAGCTACCTCCGTATGTCCGCTGAATAAAACGTAATTCTCAACCTTGAGGTTGTACACTTTTTTCCAGTCAACAATTCAACGGTCAGTGGTAAGGGTGACAACAGAACAGAGGTTTTTGCTTTGTTTTGTTTACATTTCCTCATTCATTTATTCAAAATTATTTGGGCACGTATAAACCTCAAATTGAAATAATTAGATAAAACAAAAACGCAAGTTGCAGAGAAGGTCTAGTTCCATATTGTAAATAATATTTAGCATATAGTAAATCTACAGTAATGTACACCAAATTGTTTATATGTTTTGGTAAAGGGATTGGGATAAATTTTATGTTTTATATTTCTGTATTATTTGAATTTTTACAAAATGTATTACTTTTACAATTACAAAAATGCAATGAATATTTTTTAACCTTTTAATTCTTTAGCTGCAGTATCTGACAGCCTTTGACTTACTCATTTCTGTATTCTACTAACATAGCCCAACGCCCAGCTCAAAGTTGACACTGAGTAAATGTACACGACTCAATAAATTGCATGCAAGGAAGGACTCTATCAGGACGAAGGACGATAATTTTCAGGGTAAACCCCAAAAGTACAAAGTCTTCAATTCATTAATAAGGTTTCAAATCATGTTGACACTGGTGGGCATGTGATGGCTTTTTCAAAGTAATTCAGGTCTAACCAGGTCAAGCACCCTGAGTGCACCTTTTTGGGTCACCAGCGCCTGTGGCACCAAACACAAGACCCTCAACCTGCAAAAAGAAAATAAAAAGATTTGGTATTGCTAAGAGAGTTCTCCAAAATGGAGTCAGAGGCCATTGAGGAAGTTTGACTTATACATGACTCAGCCCAGATAGAATCTGACCTTTTGACCACTTATCGTCTAACACAGGCATCCAGAACATCTATGCAATGTTCCAGAAATTACAGATACTTATCAAGCCCCTACACTAAATAACTCGTGAGAGTCTAGCCCTTAAGGACAAATATTTCCTTTTTGTATCAGAGTCAATTATAATTCGTGCAAGACAACTTTAACAACCTTGTGATTTTTGCCTTCATAATCCCCTGACTCTTTCCCTTCCCTGAACATTCTATTTCGTTGGAACCTCTGTGTCCCTATTGCAATTCCCAATACCCGAAATAAGCTCTTTGCTCTTTAAAGCCTCAGTACTGGTTACTACTTGACAAAGCCTCCAGACCCAGTTAATGCAGCCACCCGTTTGCGCCTGCTGCGCCTCGCGCATGCGCCCTATCCCTCAGGGACGGGAGGTTCCAGCCTAGCTCTCCCGCTGTCCTAAAGCCCGGGGGGAATTTACCTTCCCTACACTCTCAATTCCACTGCGCCGAGAGGCGGAAGTAAGTGGGCGGGGCCACTCGCGCGCCCCGCCCCGGAAGTGGGCGGAACACAGAGGGCTCCACTGCGATACCCCGCCGCCTCCCAGTCGGATTGCGGCTGAGGCCGGTCCTGGCTTTGTAGCTCGCTCAAGATGGCGGCGCAACCACCCAGCGGGATCCGCCTCAGCGCGGTGAGCAGCCGCGAGGGGTGGAGCGGGCCGTGTCCCATGAGGGCGGGCAGGCGGGCAAGCGAGGGGGGGCCGGCAGTGGGCGGTGGCGACTCGTCGGCCCGGAGCGGCGGCTTGGGCCGCGGCGGGGCCGGGGGAGGCGGCGGCCATCTCTCTCCCGACGGCGAAGCGACTGGGCGGCGGGCAGAGCTGGGCCAGGCGGCGCGGGCCGGGCTGAGTTTCCTTTTCCCGCGTTAGGTTTCTGTTTTGCCTCTGCGGTTTCGGGGCGGGCCGGGGCCACGGCCCCTCCTCCTGGCTCTCTCTAGACTGCCCCGCAGCTGTCGTCCGAGGGCGAGGCCTCGGCGGCCGGCCCGTCCGCCCCTCGGACCGCGGGGACCCTGACCCTAGCGGGCCTGCAGGTCTGCAGGGCGTCCCGGAGCGGGAGGGAGGGCTAGTCTGCGGTCAGAAATGCCCAGCAGCCTTGACCTCCTGGCGGTGGGACGGGGTAAAGCTAGATGGGACTAGTCTTCCTGTTTCTTTTAAATTCCTGCCGCTTCCCTCCAGTTAAGCCCAAATCTCGAGGTTACCGAACTCTCCCATTTCGCCTCTTGTCTCTTGGTCTCGTGTTTGTTCCGGAGCGTCTCGGGTTCCTAGAAATCCTTCAGCATGTTTTGTATCTTTGAATCTTCAGTGCGAGGGAGCGGTCACACTCCGTGAATCAAAATTTTCTCACCCTGAAGTGTGGGCGTGGCCTCTCTACCTGATTGTGCTTAGAAAGTTGGCGTTGTTATGCAGAAACTTGCATCTCCTCTTGAGGAGAACTCCTGCCTAGGAATGGCTGCACCAGTCTCATTAAGTTTATCATGCGAATGGTAGTACTGTTACTTTAAAAATGGTGCTTTGCCCTTTTACTTTAATTCGTTCAGCCAGATTCCTACCAACACCTGGTATCATCAGATTTTAACGTTTTTCCTGGTGAGTGTGACATGGTATCTGGGTTTACTTTACATTTACTTTACTTTGTGGAGTTGAAAGTTTTTCATATTTCACCCTTTTTGGTTTTGGATTTTTAAAAAATTACTTCATATCCTTTGCCCATTTTTCTGTTTCCTTTGGAGGAGACTTGATTTATGAATGTTCTTCACATATTCGGAATAAAGGCTCTTTGGTTACGTAACTGGTTTATTGAATGAGATAGTTAATACGTAGATGGAATACTGAGAGCAACTTTATTCTTTCTTACCACGGGCTTTAAACATTATTTGCTAACTCACTGGGGTGAATCTGAGCAGATTCTAACGCATTCCATTTAGCCTCAGGTAGTGTTAAATCTGACCTTAACTACTTTGAAAGCTCTTACTCGGTTTAAAGCCTGCTCCTTCTCAGATTGGGCCAAATTCTGTCCCAGAAAACTGGTGAGGAAAAGGAGTGAACTTATTTTTTTTCCTTGCTGTTTCTGCAGTTAGATTCTCTTATCCCTTCCCCAGCTCTTCCCAAGTTGCCGTCTCTGTCTCTTCAAGACTGAGAAAACAAAGGGAGCAAGGATAAGGGTCAAGATAGTTTTGAGACTAGTGTTGTTAGCTGGCTCTCTGGGTGTAGCAGCTGTCTATGTGCTATATCTGTCTTTTGTGGGTAATATGGGCTTTTTGGAATCTTATTGACAGAAATCTCCCATCTGCAGTTTATGGACTGGCATTTCCACTGGTCTTTTGCTTTAGGACAGGAGTTGGCAAACTACAGTTTATGGGCCAAATCCAACCTGCCACCTGTTTTTGTATGGCATACTATCCTTAAATGGTTGGGGGGAAAACAAATCAAAGAAAAGTATTTCGTAACGTGAAAATTCTGTGACATAGATATTTCAGTTCCCATAAATAAAAGTTTCTTTGAATAAAGGCATGTTCGTTCTTTTGTTGTAGCACTCAAATGCTTGCATTAGGAGAGGACCTAGGAATTAATGAGCTTATGCATTTGTCAAAAGCCCTAGAACTTAAGGCACAAAAGGTGAACCACGATGTATGCAAATTTTAAAAAATCATTAGGAAGTCTGCGGATCCTGGAAAGGAACACAGAGTGACAGAAACTTAAGTTTTTGGTTTTTGCCTCCATCTTTCTAAGTAAAATTCTGATACTGTCTTGCTGTTTTACAGAAATCCTGCTGTAGATTTAACTGACACATACACTCTTCACCTCCTCTCAGCCTTCTAATGTGTATGTCACTTTTTTTTGGTTGAATTACTATATGATTGGTTAACACTCTTCGCATTATTCACAAACGAGCCAACCAGAACTATGGTTGCATTTTCTTTGCTGTATAGCTTTTTGTTTTCCCTGAAGTTACTAATCAATTTGTATTTTGCTTACTTAGTTTTTCTCTGTACTGATCACTATTTCATCCAAACTTTCAGAGAACTGGAAAATCTTTTCCAGATGTATTTAAGCACACCCAATATTTTGTCAGTTTGGTTGGCTCAGTTGTAATTTGGAGACTTCCCTTTATCATTTTTGGAGGGACGTTTCCTTCCCCTTTTTGTTCTGTCTCCATTCCACCGCATATTCCGCTTTTGGGGGTTACTCCTTTGGCAGGCAACAATAAATTAGGGACTGAGAGTGTGGGTTATGGAACCCTGCCTGGATTCAGATTCTGACTGACAACTGGATGTGTGACCTGAAGGATGAGAGTAACAGTCTTACCACCTAAGGGGTTGTTTTAAAAATTAAACCAGCAGATACATTTAAAGGTCGTATAAAGGTCCTGTGCGTGCCATAAGCACACAGTAAATATTTGCTCTTTTTGTTATTGGCAGCAGTGAATCCTTTCTGTTTTTCCAAAAACAGGTATAGCGTCCTAAGAACAGAGTTCATGGGAAGTATATTCTTACGTCTTTTCTTGGAAATATGTTTATGCTGCTCTTGCCCTTTCCTTACATCTAATTTGGCTGGCTTGTAATTCTAGATTAGGAATGATTTCTCTCAGGATGTTAAAGGCATGCTTGATTGTTTAATAGAGTGCTATGCTTTGTACTGGTGCTTAGGCTGGAAAATCAAGTCCTTAATATCTGGAGATTTTTCTTTTTTATTTGACAAAAATTTTCCCTCTATTTTTCTGTTCTCGTTTGTTTCCTGTTTTCCTTCCCATTGCTTTTTCTTTTCTTTTCTGGGAGATTTCTCCACTTGATCCCCTAGCTTTCTCTTATCATATATTTTATTATTGTAAACACTGTCTTATTCTCTGAATGTCTTTTTAAAATCTCTCTCAACAAAATATTTGTTCTTACCACTGGGCATATTAATCATAGTATTTTTGAAGTGTCTTTTGCTCATTGCATTGCCTCTATTTATGTTCTTTTCACTGTGTATTGTTTTTGATTCTAATTTTACACATTCTCAAGTGTTTGGAGGTGAATAGATTTCTGCTTGTATTTCCAAGTGAGACACTAAATGTTGACCGAAAGATGTTCATACATGGGCACAGTTAGTTCTTTGGTGGGCGTCAGTGTTGGGTGATTAGGTGGAAAAAGCCAGCTATTTTGTTGGGGCACCCTGTGGCAGTATCTGTTGACCCTAAAGAATGGAAGTGCTAGACTATAAAATGAGTATGTTTGAAGTAACTTAAAACTTTTAAAGTAAATTTTTTAAAGTGGTGGAGGGTTGGAGGAAGCTATTCAGAATGGCCTGACACTGTTGTAAAAGAATCAAATAGAAATTTTAGAAATCATTCAGTTTTCCAGAGATGAATTCTACCTCTAGTCTCCTGCCATGGCATATATAAACCTGGCTGCTAGTTCTTCTGGAAGCTCAGCAGAGGAAAGGAGATAGGAATATCACATTGTTCAGTTTGCTGACTTGGTTTTTAATTTGTTTATTATTGTGATAAAATACACATAACATAAAGTTTACCATCATAATCATTTTGAAGTGTGCAGTTCAGTAGTGTTAAGTACGTTGACACTGTTGTGCAGCCAATCTCCAGAACTCTTCATCTTGCAAAATTAAAACTCGGTACCCATTAAAAAATAACTCTCCATTCCCCCTTCCCCCAGCTCCTAGCAGCCACCATTTAACCTTTTGTGAATTTGACTACTCTAGGTATATCATATAAGTGGAATTGTACGTTATTTGTCTTTTTTGATTGATATATTTCACTTAGCATAGTGTCCTCAAGGTTCATTCATATTGTAGCATGTGTCAAATTTTTCTTCCTTTTTAAGGCTGAATAATATTCCACCATATGAATACCCCACATTTTGTTTATCTATCCAACACAAGTATCCGTCAGTGGACATTTGTGTTGCTTCCACTTTTGGCTATTATGAATAATACTGCAATGAACATGGGTGTGCAAACGTCTCTTCAAGACTTGCTTTCAGTTCTTTTCAGTATATAAACAGTATATAACCAGAAGTAGACTTGTTGAATCATATGGTAATTCTATATTTAATATTTGAGGAGCCTCTGTATTGTTTTCCACAGTACCTACACCATTTATATTCCCTCAAAGGATGCACAGGAGTTCAGTTTCTCCACAGCTTCCCTAACACTTGTTATTTTCTGGTTTTGTTGTTGTGTTTTTGTTTTTTTGTTTTTTTAAATAATAGCCATCCCATTGAGTGTGATTTGGTATCTCATTGTAGTTTTGGTTTTCATTTCCCTAATGATTAGAGATGTTGAGCATCTTTGGAGAAATATCTATCCAAAGTCTTTGCCCATTTTTTAATCGGGTTGTAGTGTTGTTGTTGAGTTGTAGTTCTTTGTATATTTGGCATATTAGCCCCTTATCAGATACTTGATTTGCAGATTTTTTTCCCATTATTCTGTAAGTTGCCTTTTCACTCTGTAGATTGTGTCCTCTGATACACAGAAGTTTTAAATTTTGGTACAGTTCAATTTATTTATTTTTTCTTTTGTGTCTTGTGCTTTTGGTGTCATATTCAAGAAATTTGCCAAATCCAGTGTAATGAAACTTTTCCCCTATGTTTTCTTCTGAGAGTTTTGTAGTTTGAGCTCTTATGTTTAGGTCTTTGATTCATTTTTGAGTTAATTTTTGTTTATGGTATAGGGTATAGGGTAAGTGTACAGCTTCATTCTTTTTTATAAATACCTAGTTTTCCCAGCACTGTGTGTTGAAAAGACTGTCTTTCCCTTATTTACTGTCATTCCACCCTTGTGAAAAACCATTTGACCATGTATGAGAGGGTTTATTTCTGGACTATTTGCTGAGTTGCTTTTAACCCACCTGCTTTCAGTTGTCTCTGAGTCCACTGCCATCAGTTTCTCCAGAGAACTCCAGTCTTACATGGTTTGCTGAGGGTAGCTGAGGGTAAAAGATGAGTCTGGAGAATCTTAACTGCTTCTTTCAGAGACTTTCAGTCTGTCTGTTTTCATGTAACTTCTAGTACCTTTGACTTCAAAGGTATAAAAGTCTGGGGTTGCCAAGGTTCCTGGCCTGCTTGTTGGTTTTCCCATGTCCTAAGGCTTTGAATTTAGCTCTTTCCAGGCTAATAAATCAGTTATCACGGGTCTGTGCTTTCCAGTTTCTGAACTACTAAGTTTGTCTACTGTTATTACTCACTTCTTTGATTCTTTTGGGTTTATACCCCTTTTTTCCCATCATTGTAGAGTGGTTTCAGGAGGGAGCAGACGTACACACTCTCCATGTGTTCAGGTTTTCATGTTTATAAAGTTTTATATTTAAATGATTTTTTAAAATTTGTAACTATGTGTTGAGTCTAAAAGTTCTGTTGATTCTTTAAAATATCTGTGTGGCCTTCGTTGCATCTCATTTTTATGTGCTTTTCTGCTGGGGAGAATTACCTTCTAAGTGTCTAGTTATTTCCCTAATTAGGGATTCCTATTAGGGCTGATAGTTCTTTCACCTAGTGTTTGTGGAGGGTGGAGGGGGAAATCCTAATACTTATGTATCTTGTTGACTAACGTTTTCTTCTGATAAATTGTTTCCTTAAATGTTACTTTAGATTGTGTACTCAGATATTAAATTCTGACCTGGGGGAATCCTGTGCGGTCTGGTCGAGGCTGTGTCTCACAGTAGTTCTGCATGTTGTATAAATTGAAACACTGAACCCAAGTGAAGGCATGCCTCTTTAAAGGACTTTATGTTAAATTTTTTTTTTAAACCTAGAATCCAAACAAAAACATACAAGCTTCCTGTTAGGCATAGGGCCAGTTACTTCCAAGTGCCACCTTCTCTTCTGCCAGCCATATCTTCTGTCCCCAGTCACCATTAAAATTGAACCCTTTGTATTCCAGTTAAGCAGCCCACTCTGATCGCCAGTGCATTCCCATTTTCAAATCTTATTTTTGTTTTTAATTCCTTCTTGAGGCCCTTAAAGTTTTTTTTATTTTTACATGAGCTCAATTGTGCTTTTAAAGGTATACTTTTAATTTAAACACATGCTTATTATGCTTATTATGTCCCAGGTGTTCTTCTGAGCATTTACAAATATGAAATTATTTAATTCTTTTAACAACTGGGTAAGCTGATACTGTTATCACCCTCATTTTTACAGATGATAAAACTTGAGGCACAGAGGGTTACATTTCTTTCTCAAGATTACACTTCTAGTTAGATAATCCATAGTCTGCCTGCTATGTGTGTGTGTGTGTTGGCTGTTCAAGGGTGTTTTTCTTTCCAGCTAATTACACGTTCTAGAGATGAGACTTAAGAATAGTTGAAAATAATGCTTGTGCTTAATTATCCCAAAAGCCACTGTTTAGATTTATTATTTCCTACTGATTCCTTCTTTGCTTTGTTCCTCTGGGACTCAGTTTGGAGTTGGTGTATAGGATGAATTCATTAAATGAAAATTGACATTCCTGTCCACATGTGAAATCAAAGTATTATGATATGGACCAAAATACCTCATTTCTAATTCCGTACTTCACATCTAACAAATGAATAAAATAGAGGCAAACTAAGGGTTTCGAGTGTTGATTAATCATTTTCTCCCTTGGTACCAGAGATTTTTACACCCCAAGGTCATGCCCCATAGAAAGATTGAGAATGGTTGAGGAATAAGACATTCTTTTTTAAATGGGGGGATGATAGTTGTGTAAGGGGAGGAATTGGGACAGGAAGATCTTCCCAAGGGCTGACCTCAGGTAAAATCTCAGATAAACGAATTTGAAAAAAGGTTTCTTGTGCAATGTGAAGTTTTGGAAATTGATTTTCATTGTAAAAGCTCTTTGTTTTTAGAAAATCTCAATTACTTATACTCCATTATTACATAATGTGTGCCATATTACATGTTTGTATACCATAGAAAGTCCAAATTACATAAACTCCAGTTTGAAGACCACTCTTCTACCGAATACCATTTCTCACATGTGTACTCTAAACACATGCTTGGAAATTGTCTAAAATCAAGGGTGAACAGGGAAAAGTAGACCTCTTTCTGACACCTTGTGGCAGCAGCTGAACACTACAAAGACAGCTGGTTAGATTTATAATCTTATCAAATTTCTAGGGCTCTTCACAGGAAACACTTAAAGTGCCTCCTTTTTCCCCTTAAATATGAGATAATCTGTTCAAAATGAACACAAAAATGTCCTCATTCCATGGAAATACTCCATATTGAAATCTTCAAGCCTCAGCCTTTTCAAACCATTCTGTACACTTTTATACATTTGATGTCTATATTACTCAGAAATTTAGTTTCCTATAGCATGAGGTTGATTGACATAGTCTTCCGTACTGTATTACCACGTAAAATCAGACATAAAATGGAGATCAAGAAGTTTCGTTGCATTTGAACTGTTGTTTGACATTGTTTGAAGGCTTTATAGATAAATGTGATTCCACTGCCACAAGTTCAACTATAAAGAAGTTGGAGAGACCATGAGAAAAGCCCATTGATTAATAAGCAAAGCTAAGTTTATTAACTCTAATGGACTAAAGGAGAAAACACCTCTTTGACAAAGTCTTGGTTTTATCTCATGGTAATTTTGAGGTCGGTCTTCCAGGGTGGATAGCATTGGGGCTGGGCACTGTATGATATGGCTCTAGACTGATAGACACAAGGAGGCAAAGGTTTTGCAGCAAATCTTGATGAGAAACTCTTTAATTGATTTACAGCCATATCTTCCAGGAATCTAAGCTAGGTTATATCTTCCAGGTATATCCTGAGGCAAACAGCTAAGTTTTGCTTGGTCTCAGTGTTAATACTGGAATAGAAAGTTATTTTGGCTTCTTTTCTCAAAATTAAGACCTTAATTAATTTACGTGAATCATTGATTTGTTTCAGCTTTGCCCGAAGTTTTTACATACAAATTCTACTAGTCACACTTGGCCATTTAGTGCGGTTGCTGAATTAATAGGTATGTAAAATGATGTTTCATATATAATCTGTTGCTTGCAAATTGAAGTTCTAAAAAGTTTTTATTGAAAAGTGTTATGCAGATGTGCTTTTTTAAAAAGCCAAGTGTATCTCAGTGATAACATTGGTAAAGCTTACCTAGTGTAACAACTGCTCAAGTGGATGTCAAATTAATCACTGCTCAGCCTTCCCTATACTATTATCAAATTATTTCCCTGTACTCCTATCAAATCTAAGTATTTTAATTTGCAAAGTTCATATGGCATTTATGTTGAAAATATTTTCATTCTGATTATAAAAGAAATAGGACTGTTGCCAGAAAGTTAGAATTATATATTTTTTCAATAGTTGGAATGTATTTATAACGGTGGATTCATTTTTCTGTTGTTAGTAAGTAGAAGGATTAATGTTATATGTTAGATTTGTGATAATTTCTTGGTTTTTCCAATAGATAGAATGATCAAGATATAAGATTGTATTTAAAAATGTTTCAATGAACATGAGAAAAACAAGATTGTGATCGGATTTGCATTATAAGTCATGATTTTTTTCTTAGTTAAATTGATATACATGAATTTTAAAATTTAAGCCTATTTGAGAAACAGATAATAAAGGAAAACTATATCCTCAGGAATTCTTAGATATAGATTCTATATCAAAGAAGGGTCCTATGTTGGATGTGTAAGAAAAAGAAAGAAAATTTCAGGACCCTTCTTTTCTGCGATATAGCTAGATTTTCTAAAGTCTCACAGCTAACGTGTGCTGTTCACATGTAAACCCTGAAGTGCACATTAAATAATATTGCAGCTTTTCATGGTCATTCTTTTTTATGGCAACCTGGAGGAGCTCCTCAGCCTGGGATTGTTCATTCATACATAGTGCTTCTCTAGCTTTGGATTAGAGCAACTGAAAATCATGGTGCTCTTCGTGGTGTATCAAATTTTAAGTTTTTTTTATGAAGTTAAAGTGATTGATGAAAGATTATTTGATTTTAATTGTGGTCTTATGGAAGGATAATTTGGGAATCATTGTGTTATAATAAAGACTTCAAAATATGTCTCAAGAAGTATTTTTAGTCAGTTAGGGATATTCAGATCTTAGTTCACAAGTTGATTTTATTACTATTAGCTATTGCTGAACTTTTGTTTGTTTTTCTGTCATATAGTCCTTCATACTTAACCTGTTCTTAGAGAAACAAGTATGCTAGGCAGGGGTGTTAAATGTGGAGGGGTACAAAGACGAGAGAAATGTACAAGCCATCAGAAACTTTTGTTGGATTGAAAAGGGCCACAATTTGAAGAACTGTATATAGATGGCAAACTTGCATCTGTGTACGTAGATGAGCATACTGTTTTCCCATTTATTCAGTAACCACATTGTGGACCTTCCATGTCAACTTGTAATGCTGTTGACACCCAGCTCTCAGTTTCCCTTATGATAGCTAGGCTAGTTCTTCGGGCAGAAGAAGACCTTCCTGTCTTGTTCATCTGTTTAGTGCAGTGATACTTCTTGCTTTACACTTTTTCAGTGTAGTGGGTACCAGCTTGGCGCTCTATATAACAAATGGAGGGCTTTGGATAGAATTAATTCTGTAATAGTCAATGAATGATATATGGCACAGTACAGTTTAGATTTCATGTTGTAAAGTCTTAGGAATTCCTAAACATTTCAACTTTCAAAATTTCCTTAAAACACATTGTCCTGTTGCTTGTTAAAGGATTGTTCAGAACTAATTGCTCTTCTTTAAATGCAAAATCAAAATTTCTCAAAACTTCTGGTTCCCAGATAATGCTTACGATCCTGATGTGAATGCTAAACAGATATGGATTGACAAAACAGTGATAAGTGACCATATATGCCTGACATTCACTGATAATGGGAATGGTATGACCTCAGACAAATTACATAAAATGCTAAGGTATGTAAAAGTGTCACACTTGATAAAATCATTTGCTTTTACCTTGTTCAGGTGTTTCATGTGTCATACGTATTGCCAGTAGTTATCTTTTAAACACAAAATGTATACCTGGTGTGCTCTATTCTCTAAGTCTTCTGTCATTTTCTACTGCTGTTAGATTATTAGGCGATCCCTGTCATTCTCATCACCCCTCCCCATGTCTGACTTACCTAAAATTCCACCGTTCCTTTAGAGTTGTAGCACATTAACATCAATTATTTATACTTTTGTGGAATTAGTTTGAACTAATGAAACATAATACTTTGGGGAAGGGGGACTGGTAATTTTTGAATGAGTCAGAGGATGAGGAAGTAGCATAGGCATAGGCCTTGGGCTCTAGAGTCACAGAACAGAATGTCAGGATGAAGCCAAATGTGCCTGAAATGGAACCTGAGATACTGGTACAGGTACAGGGTAGAAGGAGGATTTGGCAGCAGAGACCTTTCTCCTGTCCCTCAAATGCTCCTTATGCTGCCAAACAGTCACATTGACTCCATCGGTAATCATAGTACAGCAGACTTGCTGAGAATAAGAGAATCATAATTCGGAATAAGAGAATTATAATTCGGCCATTTAGCCAGGATGTGCCAGGCAGTAAGCTCCTGTTCATTATGTGCAGTCCTTGCATCCCTGTGATGTGGATTTGGTTTCCTTCATTTCAGAGATGGGAAAACAGATTAAGACAGATTGATTAAAAGTAATTTACCCAAGATTATACAGCTAGGAAGGATGAGGCCAGCATTCAAATTTAGGCTTGTTACTTGATATTACAGCTTTTTGAATTGAAATAAATGAAGTTTATACCTATTATTTAATTTTTTTTCTTTTTAGCTTTGGCTTCAGTGACAAAGTCACCATGAATGGTCACGTCCCAGTTGGATTGTATGGGAATGGCTTCAAGTCAGGTTCTATGCGTTTGGGTAAAGATGCAATTGTTTTTACCAAAAATGGAGAAAGCATGAGCGTGGGCTTCTTGTCTCAGACCTATTTGGAAGTCATAAAAGCAGAACATGTTGTTGTCCCAATAGTGGCATTCAACAAAAACCATATCCTTTTGATTTTGAAATTGAAACTCTGAAGAAATATTATGAACCATTCCATCCTTTGCCCTCCCCTCCAGATTCTTGTTTTTCAATCACGCTTTCCATTCTAGCTCTTGTTCCTATCCACTGCCTCTGCCCTACATCTGAGGCTAAACATTTGTTCTTTTCTGTTCTCTGTTGGAATTGTGCCATGGAAATCGTTAACATAAAGTGATCGCATTTTATGTTGAGCTTCCCGTAGCTCTCTTCTTCATTTCAGTCTTACCGTGGTCTATTAAGACTTACGATCTGACTTGAAATTTTCTTCAACAACCATGAAAAGCAAGATATCTTTAGGAAAATGTCTTCTGTATAAACACATTCAAATATTGGAAATCATTAAATTAGTTAATAATAATAGGCTTGCTCATATTTCATTCTTCTTGGTGTTCATTTGAAGTCAGACTGTCATTGTAAAACTTAGAAAATAGTTTAGGAAATGATTTTTCTGTTTGTGTTGGTTTCCATATTGTAATTGTGAAAAGTATGTCATTGGTCTAAGTCTTTAACTTAGGATATACGACAGATAATTAATTCGACAGAATCAAAAGCAAGCCTTGCTGCAATTCTGGAACATTCTCTGTTTTCTACGGAACAGAAATTACTGGCAGAACTCGATGCTATCATTGGTAAGAAGGGGACAAGGATCATTATTTGGAATCTCAGAAGGTAAATGTTCAGCTAATTGTTAACCATTTGGGAAGTAAAGTGCATGTGTGGAAACGACTTCGTTACATTCATCCATTGTTACACAGAGTAGAAACATCGGATGGTCCTCATTTTATGGCATAGTTAATGAAAGTAATAACAGATGAGACTTCTGTGTTCCTAAGTCCTTGTGAGGATAAAATCCTTTGCAAATAAGATTTTAAAATTTAGGATGAATGTGATATTGAGAAATCTAAGAAATATTAAACCATAGGAATAAACTACAAATAGTGATGTCTAAAATTCTTTAATTCTTGTGCTTTTCTGAGCTTCTGTATTCTTTTTTTTGTCTTTTTTTGTCTCCCCTCCCCCCACCCCATTTTTAAAAATTTTTTGAGATGATTGTAGATTCATGTGTAGTTATAAGAAATACTAGATCTCATGTACCCTTTACCCATTTTCCCCCAGTGGTAACATCTTGGAACACTGTAGTACAGTAGTACTATTGATATTGACATTGGTACAGTCAAAATACAGGACGTTTTCATCACTACAGAGATCCCTTTTCTATCCATATCCACTCCTTAATCCCTGGCAACCTCTAACATGTCCATTTCTGTAACTTTGTCATTTTAAGTATATTATATAACTGGAATCATACAGTGTGAAACCTTTTGGGATTAGGTTTTTTTCATTTAGCATAATTCTCTGCAGATTCACCCAGGTTCTTGTGTTTGTTCATTTGTTTTCCTTTTTCTTGCTGAGTGATACTGCATTGTATGGATGGACCACAGTGTGTTTACCAGTCATCTGTTAAAGGATATCTGCGTTGTTTACAATTTTCAGTTATTACGAATAAAACTATAAAATATGTGCATACAGGTTTTTGTGGAAATACGATTATATTTCTAGGATAAATGCCCAAGAGTGTAATTGTTGGGTCATATGATAATTGCATGTTTAGTTTTTTAAGAAACAGTCAGAAAGTGCTTCTACCACTTGACATTCCCACCAGCAGTGTGGGTGAATACACTTTTTCTGTACCTTCCTGGATTCCTTTTCTCTTCTCTTTGCTTCTCTTTTCTTCCTTTTCTTTTTTCCTTCTTTCTCTCTTTTTTTCCCCCTTGCTTTTGTTCCCCCAACTACCCTGACCATGACTCCAAGCTAATGAAAAAGTTGGATGTCAATTAACAGTAAGGTTTATATCTTTGTTAACTAATAGTTATTTGCTTGCTTATGGTGAAGTTAAAATTTAGCTCTTTTAAAAAATTATTATTTTTATAGCTACAAAAGTGCAACAGAGTTTGATTTTGATAAGGATAAATATGACATCAGGATTCCAGAAGATTTAGATGAGACAGCAGGAAAGAAAGGGTACAAGAAGCAAGAAAGGATGGACCAAATTGCCCCTGAGAGTGACTATTCCCTAAGGGTATGTATTCCACTCTATTTGTGGGAATGAGGAAATCATCAAATAATGGAAATTACGTTATCCACTTGTGTTAGAAATGCTGCCAGCAGTCTCTAAGTGAAAGTATCTTAGACATGAACCAATTTATTAAATTTGTCATGTGTGCACTGGTTGTTTTATTTACTTAGAAAACAGTTTTTTAATTGCAAAGTTATCAGGTCTAACAGTGCTTATAAAAGTTCTTTCATGATGTGGTTAATTATTTGAATTGGAAATACTAGAATCAGTATATCCTGTGATGGCCATATTGATGAATTCAATCAAAATGTTAAGTTACTCTAGATAAAAAATTCAGAGTATGTCTCTTTAAAATTTAAAATATTCTAGAATCTATACATACACACACACATTAATTGATATCTTAAAGCAATAAATTATGTATAGCCTACAAATAATGTACGCTAATATAATTTTGTGATAAATATCTCTGAGATTTGACCTTAGACATGGGCATGTTTTTAAGATTGAAGGCAGTAAGATCTCAGTGTGATAATGTTGATATGATAGTAACATTGTCACTATGATGATGTATACTAACTTTTCTCCTTTTTTGTGCTGAAATTTTTTTCATAACTCCAAGTTGAGGATACATTTGACATTTACAAGTTTCCTAAGTAACTTCTTCTGAGATGCTAGCAATTAAGTGGCAGGTATTACTATTCCAGTATATACCCCCGTGTGTTAGTGAAGTATGTCCTAGTTGTTAAGGAAATCTTGCTCAAGAATATCCAGAGGTGTCTAGAGCAGATGGTGTAGTTTTAGTATAGCATGACATAAAATGTTTTGAAATATCATTAATGAAATTTGTAAATGACAGAACCACTAGTTTTGAAATCAGAAGTTAGGGGGGGAAGAAAAGTAAGAGATATGTACAAATTTTAGTTTTGTGTTGAAATTTCTGTCTATCCTTATTGAGTTACTCAATTCATTTCCTTCAGAGACTTCTGATAGCTTGGAGGCAGGCACAGAAGAGCATATTTTAACATGTTTTAGGATGCAGAGTTTGGTCAATATTCTAAAGTATCTAAACCTTCATTCATTAAGAATTAAAAACACATTTAGATGACTGCTGATTGTTACAGCTCAGTTTTGAAAAAGTGCTGTTCTGCTTAAATGTTGGTGCATTATTTATGATTTTTTTTCCTTTGAAAGCTTATAATAGTCCCTTATGTTCATATTAGATTTTGCTTATTTTTCCCCAAATAAAATTTATTGATGCTTTTCAAATTGTAACAGCAGTATATGTACTTGACAGAAGAGTCAAAATACAGTACTTTTTATACACAGAAACATTTTTTTAAAATTAAAATGAGATCATACCATACATGCTTGTTTTGTAAGTTTTTTTCACTTAACATCTATGTAGGTCAGTAGATTGTTTTCTGCAAATCATTTTTACTGGCTCTGGTAGATTGAGTTTATTTTTAATAAAAACTATTCAAATATTAACTAATACACCTTTATAGTATTTTATTGTCTAGTTAATTGGTCCTTTATCCAAGCAAGGTTGTAGCTTTCTTTTCAAATACATGTGTATGTTGAACAAATCCACAGATAATTATTTGGAAAGGACAGATATTGTTGTGTGTCTTTGCAGGCTTACTGCAGTATATTATATCTAAAGCCAAGAATGCAGATCATCTTACGTGGGCAGAAAGTGAAGACCCAGCTAGTTTCGAAGAGTCTTGCCTACATTGAACGTGATATTTATCGACCCAAATTTTTAGTATCCTTTTTATGATGCTATATAGAAATAGATGTCAATCAAGTATATTTACCTTCCCCCTTTCTCCTTTTATCCTGATATAGAATCTAATCCTTTCTACCTTTGCCCTTTTTTAATGCAGCTTTGGACTCAAATAATGAAATAGAGTGATTTGAAGGGAATGAGGTGGTGTGTTCAGAATTTTCCTTAACATTTAAGACTAATAAAACAGTGAGAATTACTTTTGGATTCAACTGCAGAAATAAAGATCATTATGGGATAATGATGTATCACAGAAATAGGCTCATCAAAGCTTATGAAAAAGTTGGATGTCAATTAAGGGTAAGCTTTATATCTTGAAAATGTCTGTAGCTTTTATAAAAGTTAGGATAACATGTTACTGGGCAAAATGTGTTTAAATGTCAGTGTTTTTAATAACATTGGTATGGAACTTGAACTTAAAATACTTTTATACTAATTTTTCATTTGATCTTGAATAATCCGATGAGGGAGGTCAGAATATTTTATCTCTGTTTTACAAATGAGGAAATTGGGGCTAATAAGTTTGGTGACTTGCTCCAGACCTAGCAATGAGTGTGGATCTCAGGCACAGGTGCACGTCTTTTCACTATGTTTAAATAAGGATCCTTGATGATTTCGTGCTGGAATGAAATTGGTTGGTTTTAAATAGTGTTGACTCAGTAGCCTAAGAAATAATACCAGATAGGTGATTTGCTTTCCTAGGTTAGTTCTGAATATGTTAGAGTGTTCGTCCTAAACCATTCCCGTTGTTGTGGGATTCAGTTTAGGATGACGAACATTACCCACTGTATCAGTTTATCCTTTACACAGAAAGGTTTTTTTTTTGGTATGTGTGTGTTAAGAATTTAGTGATAAATTCTGGAATTGAGCTTTGTTAAAAGTTTTAAGTCTAGACATATTTTGTTTTCCAATTCTATGATTTTCATTTTCTATTCATTTTATTTCATTCTGAATCTTTTGTAGAACGATAAGTGCTCTACACAGTATAATAGTGTGGGTGTATCTTGAATATTATTCAACAGGGGTTATAACTCTGTCTTACACATTTTATGTGTTATGAGCCCAGAATATATAGCATTCTTACAAGAGTAAATAAATAGAACTCCCATATGATCCAGCAGTTCCACTTCTGGGTGTGTATATCCAAAGAAAATAAAAACAGTATCCCAATGTTCATAGCAGCATTATTTACAATGGCCAAAATATGGAAGCAACCTAAGTGTCCATCAGCAGATGAATGGATAACATTGTGGGTATGTACACACACACACACACATACACATACATGGCGGAATATTACTTAGTCATAAAAAAGAATGAAATGTTGCCATTTGCGATTAACACAGATGGACCTGGAGGGTATTGTGCTCAGTGAATTATGTCAGACAGAAAAAGACAGATACTTTTTGTTATTTATATATGGAATCTGAAATAAAACAAGTAAATGAATATAACAAAATAGAAATAGACTCACAGATAAGGAGAACAAACTAGTGGTTACCAGTTGGGATGAGGTTTGGTTGAGGAATAGGGGTAGGGGATTAAGAGGTACAAACTACTATGTGTAAAAATAAACAATAAGGATATATTGTACAGCACAGGGATTTTATATTTTATAATATTTTGTAATAACATTAGATGGAGTACAATCCATAAAAATGTTGAATCACTGTGTTGCATACCTGAAACTAATATAATACTATAAATCAACTGTACTTCAATTAAAGAAAAATAGTAAATGAGCTTTGGGCTCTTCTTTTTAGTTGCTAATTTCAATCAAAAAATAAATCCAGAAATCTGACAGCCATGATATGAGCTATCAGTAACTTTTATTTAAAATTCTAATTTTCATTTGTAATTGGACTAGTAAATTTTGCCAGAAATACTCTATAATTAAAGTTCTGAATTTCACTGGTCATTGGGAATGCATTTTTGCTATTAGACCTTATTTTTTCAAATGCTTTGAGATTCAAAAGAAACAGTGTGTCTGCTATAGAATATGAATTTTTTAATGAATTTGACTTCAGTAAGATACATAGCTCATTTTTCCAACCCAGTTAAATTTGCGTTATAGATAATTTCTAGTTTAAATTTGACTTTGTTATAGCCAACTTTTTTCCTTTTTTAATTATGTACTTAATTTACAATGTTGTTAGTTTCTGGTGTACAGCAGATGTTTCAGTTATACATATATATATAATCTGTTCTTTTTGAGATTCTTTTCCATTATAGGTGATTACAAGATATTAAATATAATTCCTTGTGCTATAACGTAGGACCTTGGTGTTTATTTTGTATGTAGTAGTGTATATTTGTTAATCCCAACTCCTAATTTATCTCCTCCCCCATCTCCGTTGGTAACTATAAGTTTGTTTTCTATGTCTGTGAGTCTATTTCTGTTTTGTAAATACTGATTTTTTCAATCCAAGAAGTTCATTTGTGTCATTTTTTTAGATGCCACATATAAGTGATACCCTATAATATTTGTCTTTCTCTTTCTGACTTACTTCATTTAGTATGATCATCTCTAGGTCTGTCCATGTTGCTGCAAATGGCATTATTTCATTCCTTTTAATGGCTGAGTAATATTCCGTTTGTGTGTATGTACACCCCCACACGTTTATCCATTCATGTGATAGACATTTAGGTTGCTTCCGTGTCTTGGCTGTTGTAAATAGTACTGCTGTGAACATTGGGGTGCATATGTGGCTTCCAAATTGTATGAAATGAAGAACCACTGATAGTTTTTAGTAGAGTAGCATTATGATTAGGTTTGTGTTTTTTTCTGTAGGTGTAGCTGTGAAAAATTTCATTTTAGAAGTTAATATTTCATTTTTTCTCTTTGTATATCAGTTCAGTTACAGTTGTGAACAAAATATATGTTAATCACATATAGATAATCAGAATATGACTGTGTACTTTGAGTTCAATGTTTTAGCTAGCAGATTTTAAAAATTAATTCAGCTGACCTAGGTTTTTATTTTATCACAATTCGCAACTGTTTGTATAACTTTGGATAGACAACTTTAATTTTTTTAAAGAATTTCTTTTGTTTTTTATTTTGTTTTTATTTTTAATTTTTGGGGGGTAATTAGGTTTATTTATTTATTTAATAGAGGTTCTGGGGTTTGAACCTAAGACCTCCTGCATGCTAAGCGTTCACTCTACCCACTGAGTTATACCCTCCCTCTGATGACTTTGATGACTTTAATTTTTATCTAGCAAACTTGTGAAATATTATGTGCCAAAGCTTCTGCTACACTGTGAATGTTGGGAAGAGTTAGTTGTGGTTTCTACTGTCTAAGAACTTGCATCCCAGTAGAGGTGGTCCTTTTTCTCTTGTACAGAATTGGGAATGATAATAACTGTCTTGAATGAATACCTAACAACAGTGGAAGTGGTTTTGGGGGAAGAATTTTTTGTATTTAGGAATTACCTCCCAGAAAAGTAAATTACCTACCGGACACTGCTTTTCTAAATGCCGTGAGAATCATGAGATAGAATATAGGAAAATGTTTTGTACAGATCTTAAATCTTTGTGGAGGGGTCATTGTTTTGAGCATCATGCCTCACGTTTGAAATGCCAATTTCATTTTATTTTTCAGGCAAACAACATGGGCGTTGGAGTAGTGGGAATTATAGACTGTTATTTCCTAAAGCCAACTCACAATAAACAAGATTTTGATTATACGAATGAATACAGGTATGTTACCTATTTAAATGATTGAGTTTTTATAATTTATTTTGGAAATACTTTCATAACTTTCTAAGCTGAATTTCTTTCTATTTTAAGGGAGCTTGCATAGAAAACACATTTAGTCATCTTCTTCCAACCTAGGGATTATATTCTACTCCATCACAAATAGAAGTACATTCTCTTCTGTCTTTATTGATGAAGTATTTCTGAGATTTGTAGAAAATAGAGGAAGTTTCTGCTTTTTTGGTAGCAACATTTTTTTGTGTGATATCCAGAAACTTTGATCTTAGATGGGAACTTTAAGATAATTTAATCCTATGTTCTTTAGACAGAAATACTCATATCTTTTAAGAGTGGTCAGAAGCCATAAAATAAATATGATTATCAGTTTTACCTGTAAATTTAGGAAGGACAAACCGCTGTCCTTATGAGTACATATTGTGAAATAGAATGCAAACTTCATATAAATATTTGTGGTAAAGACAAAGATAAATGCTATAGGCTCTTCAAGTAAAGAACAATTAAAGTGGAAGGAGGGAAATGATAAAGGTAAGAGCAAAATCAGCAAGTTAGGAAACACAATAGAGAAAAATCAATAAATATGTCATTCAGAGTACAGTACTGAGACAGAAGCTACCCGTTATTTCAACAGAGTAAATACAAGGAATTGTTAACCAGGATAGTAGGAGATGATTACTGAAAAAGGTAGAAGAGGACAGTAGATACCCAGAACTAGCAGACAGAAAAGAGCAGCTGTTACCTCTAGGTTGAAAAGAGTAGACAATAAAGGACCTGGGAGAGGGTTCCTGGTCCCCAAAGTCAGAAATTCAGCTCTCTTTGTAGAGGTCATGACCAGCGCAGGAACAGGCTACCTGTTGTGGCAAGAAACTTGCCAGGAGGCCTGTCCAGTTTGGGTCTGTAGATGGGGCCTGCCTTTGGCCAGGGAGTCGGCTGACTTGGGCTGGAGCTGTTCTGCAGAGGAGACCTGACTTTGCCCAAGGGTGTGAGTATGTTGGAACTAGTTTCTGTTGCTAGAGGTCCTGGGCTGCTGGAGCCAGCAGCAGACCACGGGAGGGAAAAGCGTGGACTGAGCACAGCTGGAGTTCCTCTGGGAGGCCACGGGCTCTGGCCAGATAAAAATGGAGTACCGGACCTGAAGGGCCCACCCATGTCGTGCTATTCTCCCCGGTAGGTTTCTTTCCCCGTTGACCCAGTGTAACTTTCCTCAGGCTGGCAAAGGATAAATTTTGACAGGATTAAGCTCCACTATCACAAAGAAGAGTGAATTTGAACCTGGAAGACAGTAAATCAATAGTTGACACAATCAAAAAGCCCAAAGTTTGTTCTTTGATAAGATCAATGAAGTCTATAAGCATCTGGGGAGACTAAGGAAAAAAAGGAGAAAAGCAGTAATCATATTAGTAATGAAAAGGAGGACATTACTACAGATCTACAGACAGAAAAACATCAAAGGGATAGTGTGAATATGTTTCTTTACCATTTAAGATATGGATAATATTTCTTTGAAATTGAATCACATTTTTAATTCATATTAAGTTCAGACATTTAAGGAAGTGGTGGCACTAGTCTTACCCAGTCATTCAAGGTTTTAAGACACCGTATAACTTTGGTAGTGAACTCATGAATGCATTACAAGAAAGAAAATTTATGTCAATGTCTCTCATGATCAAGATATAAAATCTTAATTGAATAGCAGATACCATCCAGTGACATGCAAAAAGGATAATAACGTTAAAACTAAGTGGATATATTCCAGGGTGGCGTGAGTGGTTTTTAATATTCAGAAATCAATGTAATTCATCACATTGATGTTAAAGAAGAAAAATCTCATGGTTGTTTTCATAGGTGCAGAAAAACACTTCATAAACTACAATACCCATTTGTGATTTGGGGGAAAAAAAGGAACTCTTTCAAAACCAATAGCAGAAGGACATGTTAGCAATTCAAAGTATTTACGAAAAAACACCAGTTCCTGATGGTGAATTGTTGATGGCTTTCCTCTTAAGAATGAGAATGAGATAAGGATATTAGCTATTTAGTCACCATTGTTCTTAAGGAAATAACCAGTACAGAATAGCCCCCCCCCCAAAAAAGTTCTAAGGATTGGAAAGGAGTAAATTGTTTTCTGTAGATGACAGTATCAAGTATATAGAAAGTCCAAAATAATCTGCAAATTAATACAGATTCTAAGGTTGCTGGGTGAGAAGTATTCAGAAATCAGTCGTATTTCTGTTTACCAGTAGCAACAACAGAACAGAACATGAGATTTTTAAAAATTCGTACGTAATAACATCAAAAAAATCAAGTGCTTTGGAGTAAATAGAATATGCAAAGACCTCAACATACTGAAAACGATGCAACATTGTGGAGTAAAATTTCAAATCTAAATAAATAGGTATACTGAGTTCATGAGGAGTTGGTAAGCTGAATATTATAAAATGTCAGTTTTTCTCCTAAATAGCTAAATACAATTCCAGTTAAAAAAAATTCCAGCAGGTGTGAATGGGTGTCACTATTAATAGACTTATTTTAAACTTTATGTGCAAAGTAAGAAGACCAAAGATAGTTAAGACAATAATTAAAGAACAACAAATCTAGAGGATTTGCGCTAAATATCAACTTAAATAGCTGTAGTTATATATATATATATATATATATGTATGTATACCTGAATCACTTTGCTGTACACCTGAAACATTGTAAATCAACTATATTTCAATTTAAAAAGCTATAGTGACTAATAAAGTGTGGTATTAATGAAAATATAGTCTAGAGAAACAGAATAGAGAAACCTAAAATAAATCTCCACTTTTTATACATGTAGTCAGCTGATTTATGAAAGGTTTTATTATAGTGTAGTGGGAAAATGATCATCTTTCTAAAAATGCTGGGTCAGCTCCCTGTATAGATAAAGTGAACTTTTCAACGTCTACCTTTCACATGAAGCAAAAAATCCCAAATGGGTTTCAGACCTAAAAGAGAAAGGCAAAAATGAAGTGAAAACCAGAGTACTTTAGTTTGGTAAGATGTTGGTAAGATGTACGGCAGCGGGAGCTCCTGTACTTTGTTGATGGGGGTGAAAATTGTTGATCATCTTTGAAAACCATGAGACTATCGAGTAAAGCTGAACATGAGTGTCCACCCCTGTGACCCTTCAGTTCCACTCCTGGGTATATTTTCCACAGGATGGGTGCAGTCTCATGGATTGAAGAACAGAGGTGATGAGGAAGAATTGAAAAAGTGATATGAAAGGAGAAGCATGTTTGGGAGGGAGAATGAAGTGTTCTTATTTGGATGTTTATGTGTTACAGTGATAATGGGGCTTCCTAGTGGGGAAAAATAGGGACAGTGAGTGGGGATAGATGCGTCTAATATTAATCTGTCAGTACAAAATTTGAAGTCTTGATTTTTAAAAGCTGTATTTTAAATTTAAAATGTTACGCTGTATCTTGTGTGTGTGCACAGTAGGTTATTAACTCATTAACAAGTGCTTACTTGGTTGTGGTCCTAGTCATATTTATCTCAATAGGTCCTGTTGATTTGCCTTTTTTTTTTTTTTTAACTAACATTATTGTAGCAGTGTGAAAGTCTTAATTGTGGGACAGAAGCTATTTTGAAGTATACTTTCTGGTAATGATGGTGTACTTTTATAAACCAAACAGCTGAGTTGTAATTTGTATTGAAGCTCGTAAGTTGGTTGGTTGAAACCAGAAAGCCTGTGGTTCTCCTTGTAATAGATCTGCAACATTCTTTCTCAACAGAGGACCAAAACTATTAGTATTTGGTGTCTTATTTCCTAGATGATCCTGGCTCTGTTATATGAACTTATAAAGGTCCTTATAGAAAATTGCCATTATTTTGAGTTTCTTAATTAACTGTACCTTTTGGTGCTCCCCGTTGTGTTCATGTGATCATTACTAGGTTATGTTTTCTCTGTGTTTGATGAAGATTTTATTTTTATTATTTTTTTCCTTAAATTGATTTTATAAATTTTTTTAAGGCTTACAATAACAGCACTAGGAGATAAGCTCAATGATTACTGGAATGAAATGAAAGTGAAGAAAAATGCAGAATATCCTCTAAATTTGCCTGTTGAAGATATACAGTAAGTACATTTAAAAATAACTGACTGTAATGTCAAGATGTGATATTGGTGGTGATTGTACAGTGTAAACTTTTTTTAATGGAGGTACTGGGGATTGAACCCAGGACCTTGTGCATGCTAAGCATGCACTCTACCACTGATCTATACCACTTCTTGTGTAGGGTGCGTAAACTTTTTAATCTAACCCATAGTAAGAAATAAATCCTACAGCTCGAATCAGCACACTGTAAAATGAACGAATGAATATATACATTTACACATATACACAAAAGTCATGAAACAGCATTTACCCATATTTGAAAAAAATGCTGGTCTTGACCCATTAAACTGATTTCATGATCCACTGATAGGTTGCATCTTATAGTTTGAAAAATTCTGGAGATAGGATCAAGAGTCTAAAGCCAGATTTAAGTTTAAATTCTAGTTCTGCTGCTTCAGTGGCTGTGTGACATTGAACATGTTACTTGACCTCTTGTAAGCTTCCATTTTATCACTTGTAAAATGGAAACAGTAATAGCACTTACCTCCTCAACTTGTAAGAATTAAAGATAAGAACTCAGTAAAGTACATAGTATGTAGTAACAGTCCTCTGAATGATAACAGCTTAGGGTGCTATGGAAAGATGTTCAAGATACATAATGAAAAACAAAAAGCATGCAACTCAGTGTATTAACTTCCTGTTTTTTTTTAAAGTGTCCATATACACATGCATAATTCTATAAGCATAGAAAAAGCCTACCAGGATTAAAAAAATTAACAGTGGTAACCTCCTGAAACAAGGAGTTTATGTTTACTTTACAAATTTCTGGATTTTTTTTTTTAATAAAATGTGTAAATGCATTTTTTTTAAACTAGAGTTAAAAAGTTATTGGTATTAAGATGAAGTCGTTAAATGAGTCTACATAAATTCTTTTCAGGATCATTGTAATTTTCAAATGATAAATGTATGAAAGCTTTTTATAAACTAAAAGAATGTACAAATTTGGATTATTCAGAGAGATGCTATCGTAGGGTTAAAATGTCATGCAATTATAAAAATTGCTTAAATTGTAATACAACTTGCCTATTTCTGTACTTGACTAGTTTATTGTGTTAATAAATGTATTAGATTTGACACTGCAGGTGCTAACTTAATATAAATTTCAGAGCAGGGCATTTGTATTATTTTCTTAGGTTTGAGTTTTTATTACAAAACAAATTTAATAGTATGCTATTAAACAAGATATTTAAGTATCTTCGTTTAAATTGGTCTGTCACCTTTAACCTTCGAAGGTAACCAAAATTGTTTTTAAAAACTTAACTTACTGACCACCATAAATAGTTATGTCACGGAATTTTCAGGGACAGAGTTAAATAAAAGGGGCATTTTGTGGTAGAAATGATTTGGAAGGTCTAATGAAGTACTTAGATCCTATTTCTATGGTAGTATTTGTTATTTTGTTACAGGAAACGTCCTGATCAGACATGGGTTCAATGTGATTCCTGTCTAAAGTGGCGAAAATTACCAGATGGGATAGATCAACTTCCAGAAAAATGGTATTGCTCCAATAACCCTGACCCACAGTTCAGGTACCATATAGTTGGTAGTACCCTTTTGGGAAAGGCAGAAAGTACTATTCAAGATGTATGAATAGGCGCTGGTGACGTGTTATTCCCATGTGATTTTTCTGATTAGAAGTTGTGATGTTCCAGAAGAACCTGAAGATGAAGATTTGGTGCATCCCACTTATGAAAAAACCTACAAAAAGAAGTGAGTGTTGTGTTAATGTATGGTGGGAGAATAATACCCAAACTTCAGCAGTGATGTGTATGCAGCATTAGTTGATGCTTCTCCAAAATAAACTAGGTACAGCCAAAAAAGGTTATGACCCCTCCAAAAAAAAATTATGATGTGGAGTGCATCACATTGAGTGCTTTTTAAGTTTTTACTGTGGAAACCTGCTGTTTTTTCACCTGCTCTTTATTGTTGTCCTATCTGCAAGAAAGATATTTTGCATATCCAGTATAATATTTGTCTTTGAACTGCACACAGATGAATCATAAGTGAATACTGCCCTTTATGAGCTTATAGTCTGTGAATACTGCCCTTTATGAGCTTATAGTCTAACGGAAAATGAGACATGTATTACCAATTAGAAGTTGACGACTACCATAAAAGGCACCGTCCAGTCCTGTTAGGAAGCCCATAAGGAGAAATTATTTCTGGCTGGGGATGGAAAAATGGATTAGGAAAATTTATGAAGGACATTTGGTAATAGGACTTGAAGGGTGGGTAGGATTGGGTAGGGAACAATTATTTGTTCAGCTTAATTAAAGTAAATATGTGAATGTGCATAATGGAAGATAGAGGTGAGAGAGAGAAGCTGGGTAATGATAGTGAACCATGGTGAACATTAAGCCAGCATACTGCACACGGATGGCTGAGTTCACAAAAACCATCCTCCATGTGGTTTTGATTTACAGTGCACTGTTTTTGAAGATAAATCCAGTAGCAGGATTAGAAGTAAAGAAGCCAGTTAGAAAGTGTGATACCCTTCTTCAAAGTCTGAGAATAATGCTGGTGGGTATGGAGAGCTTGAGGCAGACATCAGGGTGTAACTGAGATGAGGTGGGAATTAGTCCCCTGCCTAGGGCTTACCGCTGATTATAATGAAATTGAAGCAGAGTTCAGTTAACATTATCTGAGTGACTTAGTTGTGAAATGGCGAGTATGTCCTTGGAAAACAATTAAAAATAATAATGCAATAAATTTAAATATGTTTCTTTTTTCTTTCCTTTTTTTTAAGAGACAAAGAAAAATTCAGGATCAGGCAACTTGAAACAATTCCTCGGGTAATTAAGCCTTCCACTTTATAGCTGTGTCTTATCTTGGGTTGTAATTAATTTAACAAATACTCAGTGTTAAGCTTGGTAGTTAACATAACAAATTGAAGCAGTGTCGTTCATTCAGTTCACATTCTGTCTCTTTTTTTTAATTGAAGGATAGTTGATTTACAATATTGTGTTAGTTTCTGGTATATAGCAGTGATTGAGTTTTTTATATATATATGTGTGTGTGTGTGTATATATATATATATATTCTTTTTCATTATGGGTTATTACAAGATATTGAATATAGTTCCCTGTTTGCATATCCAGTATAATAATTTGTCTTTGAACTGCACACAGATGAATCATAAGTGAATACTGCCCTTTATGAGCCTATAGTCTAACAGGGAAAATGAGACATGTATATTACCAATTACCTGGATATACCATAGGACCTATCAGCAGGATATCTGCTAATCCCAAACTCCTAATTTACCCTTCTCCACCTTTCTCCTTTGACAACCATAAATTTGTTTTCTATATTTGTGAGTGTTTCTATTTTGTAAATTCATTTGTGTCATATTTTAGATTCCACATATAAGTGATATCATGATATTTACCTTTCTCTGTCTGACTTCCTTATTACGATAATCTCTGGTTCCATCCATGTTGCTGCAGAAGGCATTATTTCATTCTTTTTATGGCTGAGTAATATTCCATTTGTGTGTGTGTGTGTGTGTGTGTGTGTGTGTGTATACACACACATACACAGCTTCTGTAGGTTGTCTTTTCATTTAGTTTATGGTTTCCTTTGCTGTGCAAAAGCTTTTAAGTTTAATTAGGTCCCATTTGTTCATTTTATATCTTTGTTGCTTATCTATATTACACATAGTAGTTTATGTCTTAATCCCATACCCCTATCTTTCTTAATGCTTAATGCTTTCTGAGTGTATGAGTAGGTAGTTGTACTTCTTGTGTAAGTTTTGGTCTGCTGCAGATGGGTATGTATGCTTGTAATTACATTGAAGTGTTTTCTTGTGTAAAGACTGAGGGTTTGAGGATGAGAACAGAACTGGGAGAAAAGAATAGTGGGCTCACTTTGGTTTTTAAAGGCAGTGTCTTTATTACTTTATTTTCAATTTCATTCCATTAGAAAATGAAGTTTTTATTATATCTCTATGAGCTTTTTTTTTTTAATGGAGGTATTGGATTTTGACCTCAGGACCTCTTGCATGCTAAGCATGTGCTCTGCCACTGAGCTGCTACCCTCCCCATCTCTGTAAGTTTTATATATAGTCCAGGGTCAGCAAATCTTTCTATAAAAGGCCAAGTAGTAAATATTTTAGGCTTTGTGGACCACATACAGTCTCTGTGGAATATTTCCTTTCTTTGTTTTCTTCATGCCTTTGAAAATCCTTAGCTCATTTGCAGACTGGATTTGGTTCAGGTGACAATGAGTTTATGTGCTTAGGGTGATTCTCAGTGCCTTCTGGGATAAGGGGATAGGGGAAATAATATCTTGTGTTTTAGACATGGCACATTTAAAAAAATTCCTTTAAGAACATTTTTCTTTTTCCCTTCAACAGATTCCTGCTGAACTATTATTTCCAACAAATCCTGTGTCAAGTCAAAGCTTTTCTCCCGTTAAGGAAAGTATTCCAAGAGGACACCTTTCAGAAGCAGCAAATACTTACGCAACAAGACTTATAAATCATCGAGGTTCACCCCAGTCTGAACCTGAGAATAACAGGTATGGGGAATGAGTATTAAACACAGCCTTTACTTGACACTTCTATGGCAGTAATGTACTTCTAAGTAAGTGTAGTTTATATGCATATAAAAGATCTTAAGGGCACATTACTTTGCTTTTATTATCTAAACTTACCTCCGCTTCACTTATGCCACCTATTTAAATCAATTAAAATAGTATTAGTTGTATTCATTGTGGAAGTTGATCAAATGTTATCAACTCTTTGAAATTCTGTATAGTATGAAAATTCCTACTTTTAAAATTAGCATTATCTGAGTAAAGAAAAACATGAAGCAGTTAAGAGTACAATATTGTAATGTCAAATGGGACCCATAAGTTCTTAGTCTAGCCAATGCCATGCTGTGTACTTTGGATAAGTGGATGGAGAAGGAAGAGAGATATATAAGTGGTGTGAGTTGAATGGTTAGCTCTCTTGACTGAGGAATGGCCAGGGAAGGCTTTATGATGAGGTGGTACGTAAGGTGGTTCCTGAAATTCTAAGAGCAGTACTCTGCCCAGGTGGCCCCTTCAAAGGGATTAGGATGAACACAGGTGAAGAAGAAAGAGCATGATGTCAATAAACTAGTACATCAGACTGACTACATCTGATACTTGTTGAAAGAGAAACATTGATACAAGATTCTCTGAAATAGTGGGGTCAGATGTTCTGAGAGGTTTTATAGCCTTCATCAGATTCTCAAAAGAACTTTTGAAGATTCAGAAAAGATTAGAATAACTGCTCATATATATAGTAAATGTATTGTGTACATATGTATCAAGGAAAGCATGTTTTTAAATAGTTTGCTCTTTATAGCCTACATTTTGAGGATTTGTTTTCTGGCTCATTGCTGTTTAACTGAGAACATACGTGAATTTTTTTTTAACTCGTCCTCATAATACACTTGGCTTTTCTTTATAAAGATGATTCCAGACAAAGTAAGAGAATCTCTAGCGTTTATAGACAAGATAGTGGAACTTATTTTTAAAATGGAAGAAGAAAATAGAGGGAAATTATTCATTAATTTTTAAAGCCAACATTCTCAAGTTCATAGAGCTTAAGTCTCTGGAAAGGTGGTACCTAAAATAAGTCTTAAGAGAGACAAATAGGAATTAGCCTGGTAAGAAAAATAAAAGGGCAACTTCTAATTAAATGCTTAACTCCATATATCCCTAGGCAGTCTCAGAATTTGGTTGGATACTTCTGATGGTAGAAAATAGAGGTGAGCACAGGGGCTTGTATGAACATTTAAGGAAGAGTAGTTCCCTAGACCTCTTTATAATCTGCAAAGTCTGGCAATGCTGCTTCTCTTTCTCTGTCAGAAGGTAGAAAATTTACTTTCTGGAGCAATTTTTGCTGCTGAAGATGTGAGTGAGCCACTGTTTTGGAAACAGAAGGAGTAAAGGATGAATAACTGAATGACGGGAAATCCCCTCCCTTCATTCCCTCATTGGGCTCCCCAGAGGCTCCCCAGAGAAAAGCCCTAAACAATGATGACAGCTTGAGCACCCTTGGAATCACACGCTCAGACCTCACTGCTTCCAGTCTGAAATATAAATATAGCCAAGGATCCCCAGATGTACAAAAGTGAAACAAAGGAAGTAGATGGAACCATGTGAAATTTATTGGGAGGTGGGTAGATACTGAACAAATAAATCTCTTAGAAGGAAAAGATACATAGTTGAAAGAAATACATAAGGGGCCAACATCTGAATAAGGAGATTTCAGAATGGGAATCGGAGAACAAAGGGGAGGAAATAATATAAGAAAGACTTAATTTGTGCTAAATACCCAGCATAATGTCTGGAAAGAGATAAGAAATATCATCATGAAATTTTAGAGCACCTGAGAAAAGAGGTTTTTTTCCTTCCAGAAAGGAAAAACCCAGGCTACATGCAAGAGATCAGGAATCGGAATGGGAAGAACAGTGAATGATAGATGACAATGGAATGATGCTTTTAAAGTTTTGAGAAAGTGATTTCTAACCTAGAAGTCTATATAAAAATCAAGCCAGCAATGAACTTGAGAGATGAATAAAGATATTTTCATCATGGAAAATTTCACATGTTTTATGTTGTGTGTACCCTTTCTCAAGATTTTATTGGAGATTATTCCCTCTCCATATGAGAAAGGGGAAACTCTTCAGAAATAAGGTCTAACACATAAAGTCCAAATAACAAGCCCTCTGAGTGGGGCAAAAAGTAATTAATTGGTGATAAATTCACAGAAAAATTAAGCAGATGAAGAAAGTGAGGCAATTTTTAATACAGGGGAAATTGTTTTACATGAAAGGATAGGGCATGCAGGTTTACTTTGTGGCTCACCTTTGATCACTGAATGTTGATTAAGAAAATACTGTGGAGGGCAAACCGGAATGGCGGTGCCATTCACTGAGCTCTGGGATTCAGAGAGCAGCCTGGGATGGGTGGCAGCATTCTCTTTGCACATGTGTACATTGAAATGCCAGAGGACATCAGATGAAGAGACGTTTGGCAGTATATGGATCTGATACTTAAGAGGTCTCAATAGTCTGTTTCTTCATCTGTAAAAGGAGAAAATACTGTCTACTTCATTAAGTCATTGGGCAGTACTATGAGATACATCATTTTAAAAAAAAATGAACATGGGCATTTCTTAGAATTTCAAGATAGTTAGGTTACTTCAAGGTCATCTATTTTTGTCCATGTCTACATTTTATAATCTTACATTTTATACTTAAAATATTTTCTAGCCTGAAACGGAGACTTTCTACTCGTTCATCAACTTTGAATGCAAAGAATCGAAGATTGAGTAATCAAGCATTTGAAAATTACAAAGATGATGATGATGATGAAGATGTCATCATCTTAGAAGAAAACAGCACTCCCAAGCCTGCGGTGGATGATGATATTGAAGTGAAATTGCAGCAGAGTCACCTGGAGCAAAGTGGAGTTCAGATCGAGCCTGTGGCCGACAGTGAAGCTTGTGGCCAGACTGGTTCAACAGGCACCTCAGCGTCCAGGTGCGATCAGGGAACTACTGCAGCCACCCAGACTGAAGTACCAAGTTTAGTGGTTAAAAAGGAAGAAGCGGTCGAAGATGAGATAGATGTAAGAAATGACACGACTCTACTGCCGCCTTGTGTGGGGGCTGAAGGAAGGACACATGAAACCCAGGAAACATTTGACAAATCTCCTGGTGATGCTGGTTGCCAGTTAAGTGAACTGAGAAATGAGCTGCTTCTCGTCACCCAAGAGAAAGAAAATTATAAAAGACAGTGTCATATGTTTACTGACCAAATCAAAGTGTTACAGCAGAGGCTGCTGGAAATGAACGACAGATACGTGAAGAAGGAAACTTGCCATCAGTCTACTGAAACTGATGCTGTATTTTTACTTGCAAGTATTAATGGCAAGTCTGAAAGTCCAGACCATATTGTATCCCAGTATCGGCAAGCTTTGGAAGAAATAGAAAGGCTGAAAAAACAGTGTAGTGCTTTGCAACAAGTAAAGGCTGAGTGCAGTCAGTGTTCCAATAGTGAGAATAAAAGTGAGATGGACGAAATGGTTGTGCAGTTGGATGATGTATTTAGACAGCTGGACAAATGCAGTATTGAGAGGGACCAGTATAAAAGTGAGGTGAGTTATATCACTCAGCATAATGGGAGTCATGGGGATCCGGGGGTATCTAAATCTTCACTGCTATTGGCTAGATTAGAATAAATCACTTAATAATATTTCTGTTTATTGACTATCTGCTACTCCACTGGTTCTCACCTGGAAATGGTCCTCCCTGGGGGCACATGGAAATGTGTAGGGCGGTGTTCAGATGGACATTGCTGGAATTTAATGGATGGGGACCAGGTCTGGTAAATGTCCTGTAGTGTGCAGGATGTTGCTGTGCAGTGAGGGACCATCTTTCTCATTCCCACTGAGATGCTTGCTTACTAATACCACGGGAGTTCTGCATCTGTTATTAGTAAGTCTTAAAATAACCATCCGAGGTGGATGGTGATACTTCTTTTTACAGATGTATCCTGTATTGGTTATGATCAGGTTCCTTTGCAGGTGACATAAAACCCCAAATAATGATAGCAGCTGCACAGCCATCAGAGACACAGGCTCCTACTTTGTTGCTTTGCTTCTCCACCTGCAGTTGTGATCTGAGATGGCCCTTGGGGCCCAGCCAGCATATAGCTACATTCCAGGTCGCAGGAAAGAGGAAGGTGCGATTCCTAAAAGGTGCTTACATGCCATCTGTCAAAACTTAGTCACCTGGCCAGTGGATAACTTGGAAATATAGTCTTTTTTTATTATTATTATTTTTTATTTTAGGGGGGTAGGTAATTAGTTTTTTGTTTATTTATTTTAATGGAGGTACTGGGGATTGAACCCAGGACCTTGTGCATGCTAAGCGTGCACTCTACCACTTGAGCTATATCCTCCCCCCGGAAAGGTAGTCTTTATTCAGGTGTTCTTTTACTGAGGAAGAAAGGAACCCCCAATTCAAATTTGGGTAGCTCCTTTTAAAAAATATTTTATGTATTATATTTACATGGTGTTTGAAAGGAGAGTTTTTCTGCTAAAAAGAGTTTGGAAATGACCGTATAGTCCTATATTGCCCCTTCTTCCTGGCAGTGATACCAACATATCTGCTCATTTAAACATTTCTCCTGATGTTTTGGCTTAGCTAGATGACAAAATACATAAAAATCAATACAAGCTTTCTGTTTTAACTTTTTTGCTGTTTTAACTTCAGCTAATGAGTGTGCAAGAAATGAAAGTCATTATGATATCAACATAATTTAGACATTTTTATCTTGTTTTTTTTTTGGTTTTTAGGTCCCACTTGTTTTAGTCATGCTTTAATTGTTTTTATTCTTTTAATGTGGAAAAACAGAGGTGAAACTGAACAAGTGAAGCTTTATAGAAAGCTATTGCTTTTTTTGTGGTGTGTTTTTTGGGTTTTTTTTTAATCTGATTTTTTTGATGGTAATTTTCACCAAGCAAGATTTTCTACATTTCTTAGCTTACATCTGCACTTTGACAGTAGTATTTTAAAATTTTACGGTTATAAAATTAATTAAATAATTTTTTTGTCAGGTTGAATTATTGGAACTGGAAAAATCACAAATCCGTTCACAGTGTGAAGAGCTGAAAAATGAAATCGAACAATTAAAATCTACAAGTCAACAGATAGGAGCAGATGTTTCAACTTCAAGTAACATTGAGGAGTCTGTAAATTATACTGATGGGGAAAGGTAATATTAAATGAGGCATTTCTCTAGGTCTACAGTTCTGGTTAGCATGATAACTTAGTTGCTAGCACACATCAAACAGATTGTTCTTTCAAAGGAAGTTACTGACTGAAATTCCTTTCTATCTACTAGAAGGTTGCTGCCCTATTCGAATGAATTTTTGCTCAAATAAACTCAAAAATTAAAAAAAAGTTAACTGCTGTGGTCCCAGCATTATGATAGACAGTTACAAAAGAAGTGCATGTCATCATCTGTCCCTTCAAGGAACTAATAATTTAGGCTCAACTTAAGTGAAATAGGAATGTCAAAGGAATAAAGCTCTTGATTGGTCAGAGTGATTTGGAATGCTTCTTGGGGAAGAGTGAAAATTGAACCAGATACTGAAGAACGGGTTGAATTAGGCAGTGACTAGAAGACAGCGGACTGTTTCATGAAACTTACTTTTTCACCGTGATTTCCTTTACTTCCGAACTTGGCACCATTTCATTATGGTTTGCTAGCTCATTTTACTACATGCCCTCCTCAATTTTAACTTTCAGGAGATCACAGAATTACATGGTACAGGGGATTAATTAGGAAGAAGTTCTGTGAAAATAAGAAAACAGTAAATGAATGATAACCCTCTCTCATTGAGATTTCAAATGGGCTTGGGATTCTGACAGTGTTGGTGGTCTGTTGATAACTTACTATTCAGAAATTGTCATTAAGGGCTAAAATTGTGCAATGGACTCTTAAGCTCACAAAACATGCTTAAAATAACATTTTTGTGCCTTGTCAACCAAAGATGAGCATCTTGCCCCATCAGAGATTTCCACCCCCTGGAAAGATCAGTATCTAAAATAAAATGGACTTACATTTTGAAGGGGGCGGAATAAGAGCATACGTTAACATTCTCTTGATCCACGTGTTTCACTCAGCTTCGAAGCAAAGGCTGCTGTGTGGTTGTAGGTATTTAAAGTCTAGAATGTTGATACTCACATACATGTATGTGCACCAGGAAGGAATGATAATCTAATCCAGGATTTCCCAATGTTTATAATAAATGCATAGTAAAATGGATAGTCAGTGAACTTTAGCATATGATAGGTTCAAAGAAATCCTGCATTTTAAAATAAAGTCCTGTTTAACATTATTTAACCCAAAGTTTTATAAGTTTATTTGACCACAGAACCATTTCTTTTTCCTTTTACACAACTATGGATATCTCACAGTACATGTTTTAGTGAATAATTCAGTTTACTTTCCTCAAAAGGAAGCTGAAGTTCAAAGAGATGCATTCTTGTTCAATGTTCTCACTTAGTGTAATATCACCATTGTTTTCCAGGTAATAACAAAATTTTCAATTGTAAATAATGTATTGTAATATATGTATTTTACCAGTCCACATTTTCTCCAGTCTCATATTAAAATTGTACTAGTTGGAACCAAATACAGTGATTAGTTTTATGAAACACTCTATTTACCAACTGATAAATTCTTAATTATTAGATTAAATTATGAATTAAGTTAAATGAATTATTAAATTCTGTTCTCTAGAGAAGTTTTGCTTTTCCTTTAGTTGTATATCATTCTAGAGAGATTCAATTTTAATGTTTCTCTTAAATATTAAGCCCTACATGACTATTAAACTATTATTTATAATGTTCATCTAATAGGTGTAATATTTGTATTTGCAGCCTCAAACTTCGATCTCTTCGAGTTAACGTAGGACAGCTGCTGGCCATGATTGTACCTGATCTCGATCTTCAGCAAGTGAATTATGATGTTGACGTAGTTGATGAGATTTTAGGACAAGTTGTCGAACAAATGAGTGAAATCAGTAGTACTTAAAAGTATATTCTGTGTGAGATAATAAAAATACCTGCTCAGCCCTTCTGGTTGTACAGCTTTCAGAGTGTAAACAACTTTGTTACAGATATGATAGGTAAACAGACTGAAGAACCACGATCTTTTCTGTATTCTATGCATTCAAGTGTGGACACAAGTATTGTGGACACATTATCCCACTTTTGAAATGCCCATGAATCATTGGTATTGAGCAGCTACTTAGCCAATTCATGATTCTGCTTTGAAATGTAAATATTTGTAATTAAGTCTGCATATTTTTTTATTACCCTGGAGGACTCAAGTGTTTTTCACCATAGGTTTTCAGGTTGCCCCTAACCTTTGTGCAGTTTTCTGGTTCCCCAAAGTGTATTTTTTCTCTGAATTGAGGGCTGTGCCATAACACAAATGGAAATGTTCCCTTTGATTTTCTTACAGAGAAGTTTAAAACAGGGTTTTTAAAAATGGACTAACAGTCCTGATAAGTTGTAACTGAATTGAGCATTAATGCTGCTTTTCTATAAATTCTTGTCTCCTGAAATAAGGTAAGTAGAAACTCCATCCATTTTGCTAGGATTTTTTTTTGTGCTGAGATTGCCAATCATGGTTAAACAAAAGTGTTTTACAGAAAGAAGAAATGATCTTTAGTATAAAAAAAGTATCAAAAATATTTTATGTCCCGCCACATTTACTTTGAAGCCCATTTTTGGCTTAGTCCGCATGGAGTGGGCACAATAATTGTTTAACATTTCTTTTTGTGAAATTTCCTGAACAGCCTTTTGTAGGATTACTGCAGGTTAACGTGAGTTGAGGAAGACAGTCTTTCTCCAACAGTACTGCAGATCTTTATATTATATTACAGACCTAAGTGGTTTATATCCAGGAGTTAAGCAACAAACTTCCTAGGATCATAGTATTACATGCCATAAAAATTATGCTTTATTGGTCCCATGTTTTGTGCAATTTGAAAGAGATGACTTTATTAAGTATAACTATGTATATATAATTAAGAATCATATTTTCCACAACTAAAATGTGCATTATTTTTTCAAAGTTTTATCATTGCTATTTATTTTTACTTTTGTTTCTGAACATTCAATATATGTTCTTTTTGTATGCTTAATTATGTGTGTCATGTACAATATTAAATTTCTACTGTACATTAATTTCTTAAAAAAGCAAATAAATGAAGATTGTTTTTATTTGCTTGATAAAGTAATTGAAAGTGTATTTTTGGTATGAAGCTGGTTTTCTGTCACAATTGTATCTGCTCAAATTTTAAAATATCTTGTAATAAAATAAATATATATATATGATGGCTAACTCTTCAGATATTACTTCAAAGGAATTCTACATTCAAGGTATATTTTGAAAGTTAAAATTGTATCTGTTAAGACCTTCAAGTTGAGCTCATTCTACTATATTAATTAGAAGTTATAGTTAGAAGACTAATGCTATTTGTTTCCATTAAGACTACAACTGAGCTCACCTTGAAAGTGTGTGTACATTTCACACTCAAAAAGGAACTTTTTCTTTAACCTAAAGAAACCTTGCCTAGATGATAGCTGTGTATAGCATGTCTAAGTTGTGAATATTTATGTAGCAGTTATTTCTGGAATTTGCTATTTTCCCCTTCCTTTTGGTCAGCTATATTCTTGTAAAAATGCAGATTTTATATGGCTGTTAACTGGCTTAATGGAAAAGTTAATCATAGAATTTGTAAGAGAAACTTGCTTGCTAAAATGATTCTTTGGAAATACCTATTACTCACTCTTTAAGAAACTACTGCCAAGATACGATTCTTTGAAAATGTGGCTAACAAGGAGTTTAACAGAAGAGTAACATGGGCTTTCATGGCATATGTAATTTTAAGGTAGAGATACCTTTTTTATTAAGTTGAATTTGTTAAAAGGCTAGTGTGGGAGGAAAGTGTTGCTTAAACTCATTACTACTTTAAAACAAAAACAGTATGAGAATGTAAACCAGAACAGTCCACAGTCCCTCCAAACAGGACCTGCTTTAGTCAGCTAAGGCTACAAAATCAGTAAAAGCTGTGTTCACATAGCAGGAACGATGTGGCATATCCATGTGTCCTTTATTTGGGCCTCAGATTCCTGATGTGGGCAGGTACTGCTGGTGACTCTGCCCACGATCTCAGACACTTGATTCTTACTATCACATGGCCCTTTAGGTCATTGTTTGTCCTGGAGGAATAATTTAAAGTGATGGATACCGGTGGTTCTCGCTACTGCCTGCATTTTAGAATCACCTGGGGAGTTTTTAGGAACCCCAATGTAAGGATGCAACCCATACTAATTAAGAGCCTTTGGGGTTGGACCAAAGTATCAGGTGTTTTGTTTTGTTAAAGGCCTTCCAGTGCAGCACCATTGCTTAAAGCCATTGATCTATACCCTCCAGTGTTGAATATTTACAAGTGTTGAACTCAAGTGGGTCTTGAAACAAACTCAGGATCTGCATGGCCACTTTCTCACTGGGGAAAGCAAGGATGGGGAGAGGGAAGCGGAGCTGGTGCCCAAGTTAGAAATGTAAGTGCAGCAGAATCCTACGAAGTGAAAAGACTTCCCCACTGCCTCCCTAAAGATGACCACTGTTATTTTTCGATGTCCTTCCAGAAAATATTAGCTGCATACACATACACATTCATATATATGCATTCAGTTTATATTAAATTTTATATCTTTATACTTGATTATATATTTGTATCAAATTTACACAAGTATTACACCGTATAATTGGTAATTCCATATTACTCTTTTGAACAGCTTTAGTACTATGATATGAGTATGCTCCCAACGCTCATTAATTTCTCATCTTTTGATATTACAAAAAATGCTGCTGTGAAAATTAATACATATCACAGGCTTTTTCAAGTATATTCAGAGTGTAAATTCCTTGTAGTGAATATTGGTAGGTCAAAGAGTGTATGCTATATTAATTTTAATAAATGTTGCCATCCAAAAAGGTTGTATTTATACTCCTATGAAAAACAAATGTTTGAGCGTGTTTTTTTCTCTCCGTCAAACTTGCTAGTTTGATATGTGAAAAAATGGGAGCTTGTACTTCTTTGTCTCAGGTTGAACATATTTTCATATGTTTTTTGGTCATTTTAATTCCTTTTTTCTGTGTACCAAATCATTCTCTGTCAATTCTTTTCTGTTGGGTTTTTTGTCTTAATACTTTAAAGAAGCCGAATGCCCGTTAATGTGGCCACAAACTGCCCAGATGACTCCTAGCTTTCGGAAAATCCACAGGAGGTGAAATTGTACTTTGCACAGTGTCACATAAACAGACTCATTGGATTGGAGTCAGAGACCTGCCGGATTCATGCCTTTATATACAGCTGGCCCTTGAACAATTCAGGGGTTATGGGTGCTGACTCCCATGCAGTCAAAAATCATGTATAATTTGACTTTCCCCAAATTACTAATAATCAACTGTTGAGCACAAGCCTTACCAATAAACAGTTAACATTTTGTATGTCATATATGTATCATATACTATATTTTTTACAATAAAACAAGCTAGAGAAAAATTAAAATCATCAGGAAAATATGTTTACTGTACTGCCGAAGTTTGTCATCTGTTAAGATGGACCCTCACCTTCCTTTGTGGTGGCCTAGTGTAATCCATACAGTTGCTTCAAGGTAGCCTAGCCTATACACTAGTCATAAAATTGTTACGGCATACAGTATTGCAGTCATATTCATAACACAGTATTGGAAACATTAATATTTTTAAAAAACGACTTGGCTGTGATGATAGGCTGATACGCATTTTCTCCAATTCTGAGAAAGGCATACTGTATGGTAATATAATTCTTTGAAAGCAAAGTTATAAAACAAAATTAATGCATAAATTGTATACTAAATATCTTGTGCCTATGAAAGGTTAGTATCTACATAAGTTTTATGCATTCATGACATTTAACTTTTTTTTTTTTTATTTTTCTAGACTACGTAGTTCATCTATTTTTTCATTGTAATCTCCCTCCAAAATTCCAATATATTTACTGAAAAATCTGCATGTAAGTAAACCCATGCAGTTCAAACGCATGTTGTTCAGGGGTCAGCTGTATTTGTCTTTTGGACATTGGCCGCAGATCACGAAAGGAATGCCATTACTATCCATCCACTTGGCATAGAGGAAAACATATATTATTTTTAGAATTAATTTTATGATCACAAAGTTAATTTACATATACTGGCCTCAGGAGAATGTCAAGACAAGAGAAGACAGTCTTGGTAAATTCAAGCCGCTCAAAGATAGGTAAGTGTGGTCATGGAGAATGAATTAACCATTATGAAACGAGTGTGAACCACAAATAATTTCCTACACAAACGTGCTAGTAAGCATGGGTTGTGAGTAAATACAATTTCCTATTTCAAACATGTAAAACAAGTTTAACCTCAAGGTTCAGTGTTAATTTCTTGTAAAGCAGTCAAGACTCAACATGGTAACAATATATAGAATAGACTCAAAAGAACTTTTTACCTCAATCTGGCTAATATAAGTGTCTTCAATATGTAAATACTATCCAGAACTCAGCCATACCTTCATAACAAAGTGTAATGGTGCTTTATACTCAGAAAGTACAAAGTGAGTCGAACAGTCTTCCTAATCTATGGGTTTCCTGTTCAGTGCTATTGAAAATTGTGGCCGGTGTTTTGTACTGTGTGGCTTATGTTTTGAAAGCTTGTGCTGTGATCTGATCCGGGGCTGACGAAGTAATTTGGACTTACTTTCTTTTTCTATATAGGCAGTTGTCCCGTGTTCTTGTGACTCCTAGTGGAGAATCTCTCAAACGTGTTTGTGGGGACAGTTGAGACTAGAAAGCACTGTTCCCAATTTGCTGTATGACTTTATGCATGTCACTTCTGGGGGAGGTGTTCATAGACTGCAGAATGGAAACTTGCTGTGAGATCCTCAGAGTTCCAGGAGTGTGAGTTGTCTGACTAGCTGCCAGCAGAAGTGACACAGTCTGACACATTGTTCAAGTCTTACGCTTCCTTGGTTAAATTTATTCCTAAGTATTATTTTCATGCTATTGTAAATGGAATTTTTTCTCAGTTTCCTTTCTGAATGTTCATTGTTAGTTTAGAAATGGAACTGATTTTTTATGTGATTTTGTATCCTGCATCTTTGCTGAATTCATTTATTCTAACATTTTTGTGTATGTGGAATACTTAGGGTTTTCTACATACAAAATCATGTCATGTTCAAAGAGATAGTTTTGACTTCTCCCTTTCCAATTTTTATGTCTTTTGTTTATTTTTCTTGCTTAATTGCTCTGGCTAGAACTGCCAATATTATGTTGAATAGACATGGTGAAATTGGGCATTCTTGTCTTGTTCTTGCTCTTAGGGGAGAAGCTTTCAGTCTCACCATCGAGTATGCTGTTAGCTGTGGGTTATTCATACACTACTGTTATCACATTGAGGAAGATTCTTTCCATTCCTGGTTTACTGTTGGTTTTTTTTTAAGCTTATTTTATTTAGTATTTATTTTTATCAAGCTTATATATGCACATAGTTTAGAGAGCCAAACACTTTGCGGGGGGGTGGGGAATTGGATTTATTTACTTAAATGGAGGTACTGGAAATTGAACCAGGACCACGTGCATGCTAAGCATGTGCTCTATGACTGAGCTATACCTTCCCCTCTGTTGTTGTTTTAATTATGAAATTATCTTGAATTCTGTTCAATGTTTTTTTTGCATCAAATGAGATGATAATGTGGAGTTTTTCCCCTTTCATTCCATTAATGTGGATGGCATGTTGATTGGTTTTCATATGCTGAGTTATTCTTGCATTTCAAGAATAAATCCCACTTGGTCATGGTGTATAATCCTTTTAATATGTTGCTGAATTTGATTTATTACTATTTGGGGTTTTTTTGCATCAATACGCATAATATTGGTCTGTGTTTTTCTTTTCTTGTGGTTTCTGTCTAGCTTTGGTATCAGGGTAATTTCAGCCTGATAGAATAAGTTAGGAAGTGTTTTCCGCCTGTTTAATTTTTTGAAAAAGTTTGAGAAAGATTAGTGTTAATTCTTTAAATGTTTGGTAGAATTCACCAGTGACTCCATCTATCCAGGTCTTTTCTTTGTTGGAAGGTTTTTATTGAGTCAATTTCCTTACTAGTTTTAAGTCTATTCAGATTTTCTACTTCTTTGTGATTAAGTTTCATAAGTTTTGTGTTTCCAGAAATTTGTCCATTTATATAGGTATCCAGTTTTCTGGCATACCATTGCTCATAACAGTATTCTATTTATTTCCATAAGAATAATCCTTTCTATTACAACATCACTTTTTCATGTCCCCACTTCCTTTTCTGATTTTAGTAATTTGAATTTTTTTTTCCTTAATCAGTCTAGCTAAGGTCAATTTTGTTGATGTTTTCCAAAGAAACAGCTTTTGGTTTTGTTGATTTTCTCTATTGTTCTTCTATGTTCTCTTGCCCCTCCTATATTTTGAAGCAAATTGTACATAGTGTATAATATCATCTGTAAATAATGTAGTATTATCACTGAGTATGAGATTTAAAATTTTTCATTTCAGATTTTAAATATGAGGATTTTAAAACACAAAAATAATACTGTTATTGTACCTTAAATATTAATCATCCTCCAATATCAAATCTATTTAGTATTCAAATTTCTTTGGTCATCTCATAATTATTTTTCCAGCTGGTTTCTTCAAGTTGGGATCCAAACAGAAAACACATACTGCATTTGGTTGATATGTTTCTAAAGTTTCTTTAGATTTGTAGGTTGTTCTTCCTTTGTTTTCTTTCTTTTTAGTTATTGAAGAAATCAGAACATTTTTCATTTAGTTCCCTCATTTTGTTACTGATTTAATTTTAAAAAATCTCTCTCTCATATTTCCTATAAACTAGTAGTTGGATCTACAGAGTTAATCACATTCAAGTTCTTTTTGATTTTTTTTTGAGTTCTTAAGAAGTACTATGTTCATCCTATTGCATCACATCAAGGGATACATAATGTGTATTTGTCTCTTTTTACTACATTAAGATCAATTCGTGACTTTAAGTTTTGTCATCCAAATCCATCCTTTATGAAGTTCCCTATCATTCTTTTACATAATGATTTTTAGCATTCATTAACAATCACACCTAGATGCATTATTAGGAGCTGTGAAATGGTGATACTCATATTTTTAATTCCTTTTGAATTGCTGGGAAATTTATAGAGAAAACCTATTTAGTTATCCTCAGGTATATAATTCATATGGAATAGGCAGGATAAATGTTTGACTCAGGCATTGTTTCCCAAATATCTTCCAAAGGTAACCAACAAGGTTTTTGTTGTTAATATCATTGTCAACTTTTGAATTTAACATTTAATGTATTTCAATCCATTGTAGCCATTTTCCAATGTTAAATTGTCTTGCTCTGGCTACAGGTCTCTTCAAATTGGGTCCTATGTCCTTATTACATAATCCTTGTAGTCTTTGGTGATTTTCTTGCTTTCTAGGATAATAAGGTGTTTCAGGCTCATCTAATACATTTCCTGTTTTAGAGCTGTAAACAGCCATTTCTTCAAAATCCCCATTTTCCAGAGCTGCTCATTGATAACTATATCACTTGAAGTCCGTTTTAAATGCCTCCTTCTCTACAAACTTCCTTTGAGCCTTCAAATCCAAAATAACCTCGTCTTCAGAACTGTACGAGCACATCGTTCCTTTCATGCTCCTTTTCACTTTTTCTTTTTATTATTATTTGTGTACATGACTACAGGAGGTCCAAAGACTGTCTCTGTGTTTTATTTATTTTATTGAAGTATAGCTGATTTACAATGTTTCAGGTGTACAGCAAAGAGATTCAGTTATACATGTATATATATATTTTTCAGATTCTTTTCCATTATAAGTGATCACAAGATAGTGAATACAGTTCCCTGTGCTATACAAGAAGTCCTTGTTGTTTATCTATTTTACATATAGTAGTGTGTGTCTGCTAATCCCACACTCTTA